TACATGCCATAAGGTCATGGAATACCCCATTTAAGTTCATTGTATAGACAATACACTGGTTTGTTGGTATACACGAAATCCTGGTTATAATATTAATTCGGTTATCTTTACACCCTTTCAAAACACCCCTCCATGAAAAAGTATAGGGGGTGCAACACTTTTTTTACTGTGTATATAGTTGGCGTTGCCTGTGGAGGTGACCGGCGCTTGACATAGACATAAGCAGATATTACGGTGATATAAACTTACGGACAAAAGAAAAGCCACCAAACAATTTTCTGGTCTAAAACAAAACATACGAGACATTTAGTAACAGTTGATGTTTTACTATAAATAACAGTTATTCAAAAACGGTATTTGAAAATGACAACATCAAAAACCATGTACTTAAAGTTCTGCAGACACGTTTTCATGTTGGGTGCACTGTCCAGTATTCGATCTCTTTTAATGTCCCGTGCTACACACATGGCTCAGTATCGGATGTGACCCCTTCCAGCACCGATGCAGGCCACAACACGACGTTGAACTGAGTACACAAGTGTCGTGGTATCCCACGCCATTCTTCCTGCAGGGTGATTGCCAAGGCATCCCTCGTCAATGGCGGCTGTTGACGTTTGCGAATCCTGCGTCCAAGTTGGTCCCAGAGGTGCTCTGTGGGCGACAGGACCGGTCATCTGGCTGGCCACTGTAAAACGGTCACGTTGTTGGCGTCCAGAAAGTCGCTTGTGATTCGAGCTCTGGAGGGGTGGCGTTGTCCTGCTGAAACAGCGTCCGTGGGTGTCCTTGCAGGAAAGGCAGTACCACAGGCCGCAAAACCTCATCAATGTAACGACGTGCAGTGAGATTTCTGTCTATGATGTCCAGATCTGTCTTCTGGTTCCCGCAGATGCCACCTCAGACCATGACACTACCACCTCCATAAGGCTCCACTTCTTGGCAACACGTCACCACGTCATCAGTAGATTCAAACTCGCCCATTAGGCTTGAAGAGCTGGCACCTACCCTCGTCTCTGAAGAGCACTCTTCGCGAATTTCCCTGCCGCCACTGCTGTACAGTCCTGGCACAACTCAGTCTGTAAAAGTCGGTGTAGAAACGTTAACGTCATCTCTTGAAAGGTCGATAGTCATGGAGGCCATCCAGGCGGAGTCTTCTAGCAATGGTCCTTCTGCTGACTGGATGCCAAAGGCTGTTTGCGGTTGTTGACGTCACCGTTAAGAATTCTGGACTTATGTGAGGCACCCGTAAATACCGGTCTTCCTGTGAGGTCGTGACCTTGGGTCTTCGACTCCTCGGCCTGTCTGTGGTTCTGGCAGTGTGCCTGTGACGTGTGACTAGTATGGCGATGGTGCACTAGAAGCAGCCCTGACCCTGGCAACGCGCTCCTGCGTCGCTCCCATTTGCGACATACCGATGGCTCTCGCCCTCTGCTCTGCGGTTAGTCGAGGCATGTCCGTTGTTTTGAACGCTTTCATGTGATGGGAGAGTACAATCATGCTCATGTGTTATACCAGAATTTCACACGGGTAACTTTGTGCACAGTTTGCATTTTTGAGTGATTAAATTCCCTTTTTCGCAAATCACGTGAAGCACGTGCACATGTTCACAGGGAAAAGGTAAATTGCATTCCAACCATGTGGTCCCAACTGTTTTCGTGCTGTTAGGCAAATTTGTTGAAAACTGACGACCATTATTTATTTAGTGGCGTTTCTGTCGCCCCTCAGTTTGGTATGTTTGCTGCAGTGACTCTCGGTAATGAGTGTTGTGGTCCTTCGACTTCCATGTTGCGTTTATTCATTCATTTTATGACATTAACTTGTCTTAAGAGTTTCGAGTTTAAAGTGAGAAAGAAAAATTAGACTTGAACAAGTTTCAGGGAGGCAAAATACACTAATCGTGCACTCCGGTGGAAATTCGTGAAATAATTCTTGATTGCAAAGTCAGTGATGAGGCTTGCTATACGTTGTATCACTTAATTTAACCTGGCCTTTATAATACTACTCTGATTTTACATAAATAGAACACAAGGCATGATAAATGGCCAACATTACATCTATCTAGTAGAACGATCGGAAATAATGACATGCACACAGTCAATCTAAGAAGATGCAAAAGACAGCGTAATACGTCTATAAAAACTATAAACATACAACACTCATGTCATTGTATCAGAATAGTGTAGATTGCTGCTCATGATGCCATTCACTGAATTGTCTAGTCCGTACTTGATTATTTATAGAAACTAAAGGTATGTAGTCATTTCAAACGGTCGGCCTTTCTACTAAGTGATGTATTGGATAATTGCTAATTTCATTGCCTTTTCAGTTTCAACTTGCTGCCCTCGCCCCCGACACCACGAAGCAGACAGTTCTGACAGGAACCCAAAGCCCGGACCATTGGGTCACACGACATTGTCATAACAGGATCATGGTGCAGGTTGCAGCCTAATGCATCACATATATATTCCATGTATTGTCACTCATCAATAAAAGAAGTTCTTCATCAGCTTTCAATGGTTACATACTTTACCATGAGGTTAGTTAAGTCCCTTGAACTGTCATGGTCGACATTCGTCATGTAAACGTCCTACTTGTTGTGATACAAATGATATATTGGAACTATTTTCGTACTATTTGTCCAACGTTTGACTTCAAACATGGTATCGAGGATGTCATTTCTCGTTTCAACTTTTGTCTGATTACAATCTCAAAGGTGTCGTCAAACGCCTATCTCTGTCACACATGAAAAGACAAAACGGAAGCGACAAATACTAAAATCCTAGGCGCCGCAGTTAGTTGTGCAGAGTTGAGTTGAGGTGAAATGGAGTTTAATGTCGCGTCCAAGATAATTGCACTTATATAGAGACGTTCATACACGTGTGTGTGTGTGTGTGTGTATGTCTGTCTGACTGTCTGTCTGTGTGTCTGTGTGTGTGTGTGTGTGGCTGCTTGTACTAGTCCGGGCTGATGTCGATTTTTTAGTCCTAGCCCAGTGAGATACCATGCCGCAGTTTAACATGAATACCCCACTCAGACACAGTATACTGACTCCGAGCCGAGCAGTCCTTGTTTTAGCCCCTTAATGCCGAGCTCCAGAGTTGGAAACTATTCAAAGAAACCTGATGGGCTTCAATTGTGAATTTTTCGTTTTCCTTCTCTTGCTTAAAGGTGTCCATCTTGTTTCAAAGAACTGATGGATTCAATACTGGAGTACTATGAAAAATGGGTGTTGTAAAGAGAACGTTCTCTTGTGACTAAATATAAGCCATGTGTTGGCCCAATTATTGAGAATAATAAGATCTTTATTTACTACTTTTCTCAATGACGTTGATAATAACCGTATGAGTTTTGAAACTTGTCTGTTATTTCACTCTTATATATTTTTAAAAGAGAAACGGTCTCAGTACAGAACCTTGTGTAAACGTATCTTTCATTTGCTGAAAAGCTTCCGTTAACTAATATTTCTATTCGGCGATTTTTATAATAACTTTTAAACCACAGAAGTAAACTTTCGTAAAAAACATACTGTTTAAGTTTACAAATGATACCAATAAGCCACACTCGGTCAGCATAAAGTTCGACTTGTATTATTTCCGCTGTAAGTTACGCTGAAGAAAATAATTGTGCAATGTCATTTGTATAAAACGTTCGAATAATGTCAAGATAAGAGATCAATTAAATTGACTTATCCACTTTCTTAAATAACGGCTTTACATTGCAAAGGAAAATCGTGTTTCCATAAAGATAAATAAAACAGTAAACATAAAGGTTGAAAAGACAGTGGACGAGATATAAGTCTGTGACGTATTTTGTCTGGCCAATTTGCGTCATTGGTTGGTAAATATTTTATAATGAAAAATGTTTATTTGCCATTAAAATATACAACTAAAACTGTAAATGACATCTACTCGTTGAGACTGGTAATGTAGTATACTTCTCAACATCATTTGAAATTGAAACATAGTGATTACAAAGTGCTTCTCCTTCCTGAACATCAGTTATAATTTTAAAACAGTGGGGTCGCCGGTTTTCATCAGTGACGAGGAGAGCGATATTATCATTCAATCCCGATACCTTTACAAAAAAAAAGTAGCTGGGATTTCTTTTTTCCATGTGTGACATACGAAGCAAGTCTAAATTGGCGAAAATTGTCTTTCTTTTGTTTTCAGATTATTCACCCTCTTTGTTTGTGTTACATGGTGTCACGCATATCACACAGGATGTGCATTTTAATGTCTAATTCTGATTTCCCGACGGAGCTCGTTGTGGAACCCCGGCTTGACACTTGGCCTAATTGTGACTGCACGTGACTGCAAATAGGTGCGACGTACTACTGGTCAGTTTTGCCCTATATGTTTTTCATGTCGTGTCTGTTTTTTCACAAGATTTTAACAACGGTGGTCAATGCATTGTTTTAGTGACACTTAGAGTATTAACACGATTATGGCGGACCTGTTGGTATCACGTGTTCTACAAGTGTCAGTAACTTATCAATGTGCAGATTACACGATTTCTCATTTAGAGGCCAGTCACATGCCCGCACAACTGACGTTGAACATATCGTTGCAACAAGCAGCTTATCCTACAGTAGGGGTCTTCAAATGCGAATATCGCCAGCAACATTCGTAATTTTTTAGCTTTTTCAACAAAATTTGATCACTTTAAGTGAGTAGTGTAACCTATCAAAACCGCAGCAAATTCACCGCCCCGAATAAACTGCGCCAATTTATCATAAATTAAAATGATTATCGGTCTCATCAGGGCTTCCTGCACTCAGAATACCGCACTGAAAATGTTCCAATTTTTCATGTAATTGCGGAGACCTCTTTTTCGGATTAACTTTTCACACATGTCATTCATACTTTCATTAAGCTGTTATAATCAATACCTTGCCGTATATTATGTCCGATAAAATACACGTAAACAACTTGTTAATACAATTTCATAGTTTTATCATTAAATGGTAGCGCCGTAGGCACACCTCGTGTTTAGATAAGTGACACACGACCACCTGTCGTACTTTGTCCTGAATATACATCGTCACCCATGCTGGCATTACTTTTTGTGAACACAGAACACACCATGCTGAACTTCCTGCTCCTACTTTCTGTGACTGCCTTTGTAAGGGTACGATGACGTTGACATGAAATAACGTTTGTATCCAATCACCGGGTGTATTCCCCCGCAATCTTCAAATTCAATACTCCACTCAATAATACAGATTACACTGGTTTAGGCCAGAGGTTGAAGGCCACTGCATGTGTTCCGAATCTCTACATGAGTTCAAAAAAGTGCGACGCCTAATTATTTTCGACGTTCCTAACCTGGGCCTTTTTTACTTCAAACAAAGTTGCTTTGTCCTTTGGTCAAAAGCCAAAATGTTATTCAAAGTGCGACAATGCAACAAATGGTCAAAATGTGGCGTTTTATTTCATTCACAATAATAAGGTATTTTCACTTTGATGTCGGTGTACATGTCACCATCGTGCTCATGACGCTTTGTCACGTTGTGGTATCAGATTTCACAGTATATATGAAAGGAATGTCGTTCGCTGGGCATGGACTAAATACAGCAGTGTCTACGACTACTATTAACACATCAGTTTCTTCCAACCAGGAGAACTCGGTCGGGAAGCCAACTGGATGAAGAAACTTCAGATGTAATGTTGTATTCAGACAATAGGCGAACATTGAGAACAACAGCTCGTCCTTCAGTTTACCGTTGTACTATGTTTGTTTGTTTGTTGTTAAACGCCACACTCAGCAATATTCCAGCGAGATGACGGCGGTCTGTATATAATCGAGTCTGGACGAGATAATCTAGTGATTGACATCATGAGCATCGTTCCGCGAAATTTGGATACGATGACATGCATCAGCCAAGTTGGCGAGCCTGACCACTCGATCCCATTAGTCGCCTATTACAACGAGCCTAGTCGCCTTTTGCGGCAAGCATAGGTTGCTATTCTAACGGATATACCGTTGTATCAAGTATTATCTTCAGATAACGGTTTTTGTTTACGAAAGTCAGGAAGGTACGTGCAGGTCAATATGAGTGCCAAGATGACAGCTTGATAAGGACATAAATTTGATCTGAACAGTTTGAACTTACAATATGATCTCTGCTCAACTTCGATACCATGTTTATTCATAATATGTCCCTTCCATTTATATATTTGAATCAATTCGGATTGTAATTAAATAAAATTTAGGTTTCACATGTAAGTTACGATTGAAGCCTCACTAAAGTTTGAATTCAAGACACTTACCTTACTGCGGGACATCTTTGTATCCTTTACGCACCGATATAAACTGTAACCATCACCTTGACCATAAAATAAACCACCGAGCGAGCACTGTTGCCATAGGGATGCTATATTACCTTTGTAATCAGTAAACAGAAAAAATACCTTCTTTACGTTATTTCAAAACTTGTAAAACTACAAATGAAAGTTTTAGGATGGCTCTCACATCTAGGCCAACCGTTTACATTATTTCAGAAACACATGTACACTCTGCATACCTACTTGTCGAAACAGGGCACCTTCCATCGGATGCTTCATCAGAATGTTCAACCGCTGTCGCTGATGTTCAACGCTTTTGTTCATTTCTTCTAAAATCGTTTTGTGCATCCAAGCAATCGGCGATCTAATCTACGTGGCATTACCCATGAAAATCAAAGTGTTTCCTTAGTCCTGAGGTTGATTAGTTGTTAGCATTAATACAGGCAAGAGGCAGTGTTGAGGCAAAGCCTCTGCTTAAGATAGGATTAGGGGCGCTGGTGTGTGTGTGTGTGTGTGTGTGTGTGTGTGTGTGTGTGTGTGTGTGTGTGTCAGACAGGCAGCAGATCACACAGGCAGAAATGAAACGACCACGTAACACAGGTTTGACTGGAGCTGACCATGTAGATTTGCTTTGAATCGTACAATCGACACTGCTATTGGCAGAGATCTCTTATGAATATGGAAAGGTTTTTATAGCTGTTATTTACTGCAGTATTGACATACTGTTTATGCTCCTCACAGTCATACTCCGTTCAAGAAGAGACGATGCAGAAACCATATAACAACTGCTTACTTAGCTTATACATAAAGAGGATACTCCAGCGAAAGAGTAATATACGTCCGCTTCACATGTCTGGCAGTGTACATCACCCAAACAACTGTGCAGGTATCTCTGATTGATTCATTGTGTAAAATGTTAACATGTGTGGGAAATCAAGGACTTAAACAGAGGCATGACACTAATGAGGCTACTATCAAAACATACCAAGTGAAGAGGTTTTGATTTAGTGTTTCTTCATTGACTTTTCTTTATCATTGACTGTGTCAATGTTGCTGTGTTTGATCTCTCCAACAAATTGTAATCAGGTGTTATCTCTTCCAGTTTATTGTTTCTGTTCTCCCCAAACTCTCTGCCTCTCTGCTTGTGGTAGGACGGAGACTGGCTTGTCAAAATATGTCAAGTGCAACGTAGGATCCCGCCAAGGCTATATAATAAGACTTAGAAACTGCAACATGTTTATACATCATCTTGTAACTAGAATGGAAGAAAATGGTGGAATGGTTTATATATTTTGAATAAGTATTCCTTCTATTTGTGCGAGAATATAGGCTGGTACTGTTTCAGCAGACTCTACAAACCAGCTCCAGGAGAAAACTAACACTACGGACGAGGTTTGTAATGCTACAGAAATTAATCTCAGTCTCATCAGGACAAGAAAGGGCGGACCACTCAGACATTGTACAAATTATGTTGGTATTTTTTTAGCGCTACTAAACGTCCCCGGACCAAATAAGAACACGAAGCACACAAGCAGGATTATCATTTAATCCATTTCAGCAGGACTGTGAACACATAGCTTGTGATGAACCGGGTGTGATTATTCCATATGACTTATTTTTTATAATGGATATAAAATATGGGAAACTACATATTATTCTTTAGAAAACATTTATGTCTCAGCAACAATATATGGTCCTTGTAGAGTTTGGCAGAACCCCTCAGCAATATCATTTCATGTCAGAGGCAGTCTGCTACTTGTGCAGGCTCATTCACATGGAGAGTTACTACAATTACAATTCCTACACTACTTTGTGCTCAAGTCACTGGATGATTGTGGTAACCACGGGCAACCATCATCAGGACCCTCCTCTCCCAATGTGGATTTGGTTTTGAATGGTTAAGTGAAGACATTGGTAATATAATATTGTTCTGTATGCTTCTCATAAGACATGGCATGGCTGTCTCTGCCTAAATGTAAATACTACAAATAACTCAAGTCCTTATTCAATTAGTAGCGGTAGTTGATATCATCACCTGAACTTCCGCTGTATTATGCAAGAATGATGTCAAGGTTTAGATGTAAGAACTTTAGAATAGTCATTGTTTGTGATAAACACTAGAAAGCCCACGTGAAGAACAACTGTGCCTGTATTGCCAAGGTATGTATGTAAACCTCATAAATAGCATGTGTTAATGGTGTGTGATAAATATATTCAATAGGGAAAAGGAAAGAGTGTTTAGGTGTATGGTATTTATATATTTTGAGTACGGGCAGGGTACTAAAGAAATAATGTCTGACCACCAGGTCCATTCATCGACCACAGCATCCACAGCATCCACGCCTTCTGCTGCGACCACCACCGCGATACCCGTCCTTGCTGTATCAACGCGTCATGTGAAGGACACTAACGAACACAACAGCTTTCACTTCTATTACGATCACACATCAGTAAGTACCCAGTAACCTTACTTTCAACTTTACACACAATTACCAATAATTAAGCACATTTTACGCAATCATAAGTACATTATGTTACGGTCTATGGGGTATGAACCTGAAACACTTTAAGGGACAATTTTTAAAATGTACAATGCTATTCATGTAGATTGTTCATTATTGTTCGGGGGCACGGGTGGCCAAGTCGTCTAAGGCGCTGCGACTCTCTGTGCAGAGTCCTTTGGGCACGCCAGAAACCTATGAATGTGGATTCGAATTCCGGTTTCTAGGTTTGTCAGCACTATACCCGTGCTCGTGGGTTTCACCGAAGTGGTAAACGTCTAAGACCTGCATCGCTTCGGGCTTTTCTCCCACATTAAGCTGACACGCCGTGATTTAACTGGAATACTGTTAAAAGCGGCGTTCAATCCAACTCACTCACTCACTCATTATTGTTCCTATAACGTCACGTGTGTTGTGCAGGGAAACATGCTTATGATCGGCCACTCGTCCTGCTATGTACTGGCTCTAACTGACGCGGAGAGGATAGCAGTCCACGACCCTGTAAACATAGAGACTTTGGAAGTAAGTTATTTCAGTTGTTGAATTGACTAGAACGGTGGAATAACCTAGCGATTAACGCGTAAGCCCGTCACGCCGATGATCCTGGCTCGATTTTCAATACTTACGATATGTGGAGCCCCGCCCCGATGTGAGTGACGTTGCTGGAATAGCGCTAAAACGGCGCAAAAGCCATACGCAGTCAGGCGACGTCGAGTTGCACCACTCCTACTACTACTACTACTACTACTACTACTACTACTACTAGGTTTTTTGTGATGCGCATATTTCCACACCACTCAGGGTCATGCTCAAAGCCCTATTATCACCCCGGTCACTTGATCAGTGTGCACTCATCAATCATTCTCAGCTCCCTGGGGAGTATACAAACCAATCTGCCTGTTCGGCGCTGGAAGGTTAACAATCACATTGTCATCTCATAATACCGGGTACCCATTCACTGCTGGTTGAACAGAGGCACATATCGAACAAAGTCACCTGCCTGAGGAGACACTACATGTGGTACATGTGCTTCAGTGTGGGACAGGGCTAGAAACTCTCAGGAACCAAGCTGCGAGACTAGCTATAAGCAGTGGATTCCAACTCCTGTTATCATCCCTGCTTTGCCACTGTGAAAACATGACACATTAACTCATGCATTTACTTTCCATTGCAGCATGAGTGAGTGAATATGGTTTTACGCCGCTTTTAGCAATATTCCAGCAATATCACGGCGGGGGACACCAGAAATGGGCTTCACACATTGTACCCATGTCGGGAATCGAACCCGGGTCTTCGGCGTGACGAGCGAACGCTTTAACCACTAGGCTACCCGACCGCATTGCAGCATGAGACCGGGGAAGTAACACAACTGCGTGTAATGCTAATTATTAACTCGAGTTGAAATTCTGCCAAACACATATTATCTATATTATGCGCTTGGTCAATGTTTCAAGACTTAATAAAATGTCCTGTCTATTGTACAGTTGCAGTTGATGGCCCTGGTAGCTAATCCAGCATCACAAAGTCCAGTAGACAAGACGACCGCCCCTTCGTTTATCACCCATCACTGTCGTCACCGGAATGTCTTCAATCTGACTCGGGCATAGATACTTTACTGTGACGTAGCTGTATTGATGGAAATTCAATTCAATTATCTCTTAATAATAAATTGATACGGATCACATATTTAAGGACTGCACGCGCCCTACGTCATTGTTATCATATTACAGACATGAGGGTTGATTGATAACTTCTGAGCCACACATAGTTAAAATTTCGGGAATAGTGAAATCTTTTGTTTTCTACGTTACCTCATAAGCACAGGAGTCTCTAATGTAAACTGGGATCTGTGAACTTTGGAAATTGAACAAACCTGAGGAACATGTAATGATGAAGTACTTGCGGAAGAAGGGCTTAACACGACAAGCCATATATAAAGATATGAGTACAACTCTGGGGAAGGATGACCCTCCTATGCCAACGTCAAGGGGTGGACACTAGAGCTTACGCCTGGCAGGAAGAGCCTTGAAGACGACCCCGACCTGACAGGCCTGTCATGTCATCAACATTAGAAGAGACTCCACCTTATGTGATGACCGACCGGTGAACCGCTGAACTTTCATATTACTACTTCAGTAGGCATTTGCCAGGAGAGACATTTCATTATCATATGAACTTTGGTAATGAAGAAAGTATCAACTCATTGGGCTCCAAAGTATATATGAAATAGATATCAAAATTGTTGTCCTCAATATGATATTACAAAGATGTTCCTTACTGCGCGTCTTGTTCTCATGCAGATACACGGAGCATTCTCGTATTGGATGCAGCTCCAGTGCTTGCTCCACATGAAGCGCGAAACTATCGGTAGTTATACCGAGGGAACGTGGGAATTATGTGGAGGATAAGGCACGTTCGAGGGTTTTTATAATATTTAAAACCCGCATCCGCGGGATAACACCGAGGGTCATTAGCCCCGAGGTTTTATCCAAAGCATAAATGTTTCAAATGTAAAGCTCAAACAACCCTCAAAACAACATTTATCAATATTCATGTTTCAAACACACTGTCCATCAACCTTAGGAAACGGGCGTAAAATGTCTGTGGCTGGCGTACGTTCCTTGACAACGCTTGTGACGTATCAGCGCCTGCCCAGCCTTGGTACACTCACTGGGCTACAGATACGAAGGTTGCGTGCTCAATCCTCGGGCATATACATAAAACATTTGTCATTTTATTTTACATTTCAATACATTGTGTTAAAAAGCAAAATATCCCAGGGAATTTGAGAAAATCCCTGTTTATGAGATTTCACCCGACTGGAAAATAATAGAATGACCTCACTGGAGGTTTGTAACGGGAGAGAATGAGTTCGTATAGCGAGGGAAAACTATATATATGCTTTTTAACGATGGCAGATAGGAGCTGTCCGTTAATGCATGTTAGGGGGGGGGGGGGGGGACAGTATTGTATTTTAAATACAGAGATAACTTCAAACTAAGACCATCTGCCGACCTGGTTTCAAACCACTTCTATTCCCCGTGAACATGTACAAGCTATTACCTTGTAGGTACAGGTATGTTGTGAAACAGTTCGATAGCTCTCTGTCGGGATCACATAGCATGTTTTGACGTATAATTTGCAGTGCATGTGCAGGTATGTGGTGACACTGACATGTCTAACTGTACTGATGCATGATAGTTAACCTGAACATGTTTGTAAATATGCTTAGGAATGAGGATCGCTTAAACTTGTTCTGAAGTATGTCATCTTCACTGGCATTACTAACGTATCGCAAATTACGTTTTGTATGCAAGGGCACTGTTGGTCCAGTGTAGGGTTGCGTCCCTTAGTTGTGCCAGGATATCTTGGTCATGGATATAGTATTATTTAATGTAAGCAGTTGTGAGGAAGTTACTATATTTTGATTCTAGTATGGTGTGTAAACTTCCGGAATACCGTGAACTGTGATAGAGTGTTGTAGAAACGTGAGGAATATTCTGTGATGCGATTACACTGTGTTTAAATTTCCAGTAGATAGTTCAATTCAATTCAATTCTTTATTGTATGAAAGGCCACAGGCCCATATACAACGGAGTTACATAACATATTTTATAAAATACAAAGTCAAGGTAACAATTCACTTCGTAACAAAAAAGCATTATGTATGTACAAAGCCAGTTGATGTTGTGTTATATGATCCTTGCAAGACAGTAATGAAGACAATCTTTTAGCATTAAAATGAGATAGAGACCACTGCGGTAAGTACTTGTCTCTTAGATTTTCGTATGTAGGGCAAATAAACATGAAATGGTATTCATCTTCGACAACAATGTCACAAAATGGGCATAATCGTATCGATTTCTCAATAGATGAAAATAGTTACAATGAGTTACACTGTTGGTTTCACACTAATTTCCTTTACGTACAGACTTCTGGGTTAACATTTTCTTTCAATTCGGGAATTGACACGTAACAGAGACATACGTGGGTAATGGTGATCCGTACTGATCTGGAATACCCACACGAACACGAGAATGGGGCACTGGTGATCTACACTGACCCCGAATCCCAACGGGAAGAAAAACAATGGGTATTTTGAAGGGCGAGAGCCGCTGAAAAAAATATTTTACCAACATTGTGATGTGTTAACTTTGTGTGAATGGAAAGCCAAAGTTTTAAAAAAATCGAGAAGACGTTTATGACTTTTGTGTATTTGTCAAAAAGGCCGCTTTTCTGGGCTCTTGTTTCAAAAGCAGTACACCAGAAACAAATACCTAGTGAATCCATGAACTTTGGCATGACGTCGTGTTGACATTGTGCCGGCCATAAACTGTGACAGGTATGTCTAAGCCAGTATACCACTTACTCCATTGTGTTTCAGTTGAATATGAATGTCCCGGACAGAATGTTGAAGCCATTTCCACTTAGTGTTCCTAGAGCGAGTTAGGGTTCCATTTAGAAATCCGAAACAAACTGGCAACTAAGTGCGGGTGCCGGCGGTGTGACAGGTTACACTTCCTAACAGCTGGTATCATCGCTGATTGATGGTGATTCATAAACACATGCTCGTTATGTAGAATCGTACAACCGACTCTGCTCTCAGCAGAATTTCCTGATGATAATGTATGTACACCAGATGACCAAGCATACACCCTGTAGGGGTCAACTCCACCATGAACATCCACGGTGCCCATGCACAATTCGTGAACTATTTGTGTCTTTGCTTTATCGGTAATTGTTCTCATTATTCGGCTATGAATATCTTCAGGAACTGGCCCTGACTGAACTCAACTGGGACGAACCGACCGCTGATCACCCATGTACGTGGTCATCCGGTTTTAACGAGATGTAAGCGGCCAGTATAGCTATAAAATACATTAAATGACTTGTCTGATTGCTGTCATGTTCGTCCTTGTCCGTTATGTACACATGAACACATAGTTGTAAATAGTATCTGTACAATGCAATCCCTTTATGTCTTTGTCACCTTCGAGTCAATCAACTGGTGAAAAACAGAGTTATCCACTGGGCGGAAGAAATGTAGGTTTTTGTATTTCGATTATGTAAAATGCACACTTTGTGGAGAAAGGACAAACAACTCTTCAGGTTATGTGAAGAAGTGTTAAGAAGATAGAGTTTGCGTGAATGAGAGTGTTTGATTTTACGCCGCTTTTAGCAATATTCCAGCAATATCACGGCGGGGGAAACCAGAAATGGACTTCACACATTGTTCCCATGTCGGCAATCGAACCCGGGTCTGCGGCGTGCGAGTGAATGCTTTAACCACTCGGCTACCCAGATAGTGTTTGAGATGTGTATTGCTGACACATGCCTGCTCTCACATGAACATAAAGGTCATGTACATGTCAACATTAAAAACAGAATAATTGTCTTGTCAGTTTGGACAATAGATTCCATAAAGAAAATTAGATTCACAGGGAGATAAATGAAATTTTATTGCAAGATATTTGAACGCAGTTTTCTTCTTGCATTAGCAGGAGGCACTAAAATGGTTGGAAAAGTAGGGGAAAATATCATGTGGATAGAGCAGGGGACAATAATAGCATGGTGGATAAAGCTGGGTAAAATGAAAGCATGGTGGATAAAGCAGGTTGCGATAATAACATGGTGGATAAAGCAGGGGACAATAACAGCGTGGTGGATAAAGCAGGGGACAATAATAGCGTAGTGGATAAAGCAGGGGACAATAACGGCATGGTGGATAAAGCAGGGGACAATAACAGCATGGTGGGTAAAGCAGGGGGCAATAACAGCGTGGTGGATAAAGCAGGGGACAATAACGGCATGGTGGATAAAGCAGGGGACAATAACAGCGTGGTGGACAAAGAAGGGGACAATAACAGCGTGGTGGATAAAGCAGGGGACAATAACAGCGTGGTGGACAAAGAAGGGGACAATAATATCGTAGTGGGTAAAGCAGGGGACAATAACAGCGTGGTGGATAAAGCAGGGGACAATAACAGCGTGGTGGGTAAAGCAGGGGACAATAACAGCATGGTGGATAAAGCAGGGGACAATAACAGCGTGGTGGACAAAGCAGGGGACAATAACAGCGTGGTGGACAAAGAAGGGGACAATAACAGCGTGGTGGATAAAGCAGGGGACAATAACAGCGTGGTGGACAAAGAAGGGGACAATAACAGCGTGGTGGACAAAGAAGGGGACAATAACAGCGTGGTGGACAAAGAAGGGGACAATAACAGCGTGGTGGACAAAGAAGGGGACAATAACAGCGTGGTGGACAAAGAAGGGGACAATAACAGCGTGGTGGACAAAGCAGGGGACAATAACAGCGTGGTGGACAAAGAAGGGGACAATAACAGCGTGGTGGATAAAGCAGGGGACAATAACAGCGTGGTGGACAAAGAAGGGGACAATAACAGCGTGGTGGATAAAGCAGGGGACAATAACAGCGTGGTGGACAAAGAAGGGGACAATAACAGCGTGGTGGACAAAGAAGGGGACAATAACAGCGTGGTGGACAAAGAAGGGGACAATAACAGCGTGGTGGACAAAGAAGGGGACAATAACAGCGTGGTGGATAAAGCAGGGGACAATAATATCGTAGTGGGTAAAGCAGGGGACAATAACAGCGTGGTGGATAAAGCAGGGGACAATAACAGCGTGGTGGACAAAGAAGGGGACAATAACAGCGTGGTGGACAAAGCAGGGGACAATAACAGCGTGGTGGACAAAGAAGGGGACAATAACAGCGTGGTGGATAAAGCAGGGGACAATAACAGCGAGGTGGATAATAGCGTGGTTGATAAAGCAGGGGACAATAACAGCGTGGTTGATAAAGCCGGGGACAATCATACCGTGGTGGATAAAGCTGGGGACAATTATAGCGTGGTTGATAAAACAGGGGACAATGAAAGTGTGGGGGACAAAGTAGGGGACAATTATACTGTGGTGGATAAAAAGCAGGGGACAAAAACAGCGTGGTGGATAAAGCAGGTGACAATAATAGCGTGGTGGATAAAGCAGGGGACAATACCGTGGTGGATAAAGCAGGGGACAATACCGTGGTGGATAAAGCAGGGGACAATACCGTGGTGGATAAAGCAGGGGACAATACCGTGGTGGATAAAGCAGGGGACAATACCGTGGTGGATAAAGCAGGGGACAATACCGTGGTGGATAAAGCAGGGGACAATACCGTGGTGGATAAAGCAGGGGACAATACCGTGGTGGATAAAGCAGGGGACAATACCGTGGTGGATAAAGCAGGGGACCATACCGTGGTGGATAAAGCAGGGGACGATACCGTGGTGGATAAAGCAGGGGACAATACCGTGGTGGATAAAGCAGGGGACAATACCGTGGTGGATAAAGCAGGGGACAATACCCGGGTGGATAAAGCGAGCGGACCCTGGGTATGATACAGATGGGAACCAATCATTCCAACATTGCTATAACTTTTGATTGCTCCCGCTATGCTGTATCTAACCTGATGTAACGTTACAAACAGATAGGGGAGACATCAGGCATCCATGCCCTCCAAGAAGAATGGCGACGTATCCCGCGTGACTACATCTGGCAACTGACTTTTTCTGTGTGCCGGAGAGTTCTTGTCTTGTAGCAGGGGGTAGTCTTACACGCTATTAATGTGACGTGTCAATGAACTTGGGCGATTTTAGATGTGTTTGCCGTTACAATAACAGTTTGCCGTTTGTCCATTACCATGAATACTTGTTTTTGCTAAGCCACATCAATTTGGGCAACTGGCATGCCAACATCGGATGCTGCATGACTGTCATTTTCAATGTTGATATCGTTGAGATTTGGATCTTTTTAATACCTTTTGTTTCATGCATCTATCTTTGTTTGTTTTTTAATCAAGAGTGATTTAAAACCGTGGTAAAAATTATTTTGGCTGTAGGTCTATGATGTGTAGATTAACGACCTTATCTTAATGTAACAGAAATCGCTTTTCTGTCCCATGGTATATTAATGTGAGGCACACCTAGCTTTCAGCTGTTGTTCTTGTGACAGAATATATTTAGAGGTCATGCTAGACTGATAAACGGGCCTTCATAAATGACTTTAAGATGTGAACAATATCCCAGTCTATTATTTACAGACCAGCATGGCGCGCAAACAGAACATCTAAGGGCGTTAGTATATTTTCTCTCACCTGTGACACTCCCATGGAAACGATGCAGTGGCGTTTTAGGGGCCAATATGATCCCGCCCCATATCGTCAAACCTACGCCCAAGTCAGTCGTGTTCGTTAAGACACGACCCCGGAGTTCATCTCAACTCAGATAATTACACGCGACTTTCGTCGATTCCCTCAGTTTCTACGCTCCAAACACCATTGGCGCCTGGTCAGAATGTGTCGATTTGTTAACGGTGATACACGTGTTCGCTGAGCATGCAGATTAGTTTCCAGCAAACGATTTCAAATCGTCAGGTCAGAAACGTTAACTCCGGTGGCCTGGAGCAAGTGTGGCTATTTGGGCTCGATTTCTTTAAACCTAGTTTCTGATTTATCGAGCCTTGACTTGTGTTCTTGACCCAGAGCGCCCTGTGCAGAGCGTATCATTAACATTTTGGTGTCTGCAGAAACGTTTCTGCAAAACACAGACTGAGTCACATCAACCATATAAGCTACTCACGCGTTCTAAATGTTTGAGGGGGCACGTATGGCCCAGTCGTCTCAGGCGCCGCGATTCGCCGTGCAAAGCTGCGTCCCTAAACGTTTAGAGACCTGCATCACTTCGGGCTTTCCACCCACATTAAGCTGACATGCCGCGATATAACTGGAATACTGTTAAAAGCGGCTATAAACCCAACTATCTCACTCACTCACTCGACAGTAGTCCTTAGGCCTTCATCGTATCCCTAATCTGTTGAGACGGGCGAACACTTTAACCACTGGACTACCAAACCGCCCCTCTGGTTCTTTAAAGGGGATGTAACCGAAAACAGATTTACCCTTCTTTTCACACTATTCCAACCTAATATAGCTGGTGAGTAAGAAAAGTGCTGGGCCGTTCTGTATGCCATGTAATAGGATCGTGTGGTGCGAAAAGGTGACACGGTATATAACCGTATTCGAATTGCGTTGATCGATACTCATGGCATCAATCACTGAAGTTTCTGGCCAAGATTCGATGAATTTGCAGATCGCCATCTTATAGCTGGGATATTGCTGAGAGCCGCGTTGAACACCAAACAAGCATGCAACATTCTGATTAGTGAAATATGATTAAAATCAGATATAGCAAGGTTAACCAAACAAACAAGCAAAAGAAGTCATCAGACAGCTACTATGTTGTGTAGTTATCTGAATCCCCATCACTGCTGACACATACAGACGTGAATGAATCTTAGATAGCATGTCGGAATTTCATATTCAAATATTTTAAAAACTCAGATATTATATAGACGTTGACACTAATATGATCCGACTGGTTTACCTGATATCAGCATCTGTCTGTCATGACAACGTATTACACTGTCCTCCTTGGTAATAGTCAATACTGCCGTTTGAAGCTCTTTAATGAACAATCATCATTATAAGTATTCAACTGCGGAGAACAAACCAAACTTCGTTATTGCAATGAATGCAACGTTCCGGTGTAGAAACTGATATCAGTATCCAGCGAAAGATTACAGAAATGTGATGTGGGAAGGTGTAAATGTAGATAATTGATGTTTATACGAGGTGGAATGGTGATAGATTGATGATTAACAACAGATAAGGTTGACATGTTAGCCTGATTGATGTACATTTTAGACTAAATAGGACATACAATATTTTATTTATGATGAAGGATCACATGACACTGGTTTACCCTGCGACAATAAATATAACACAACTGTTCTCACGTGTAGCAGTATTATCTAGTTAACAATAGAATATAAATGACAAGCGCAATTATTAACACATTTCGTCATTCCTGTTTGCTGAATAATACTTTCAATGGTTTCTGGTACAGATGACCATGGACATTATTAACACATTTCGTCATTCCTGTTTGCTGAATAATACTTTCAATGTTTTTTGGAACAGAGGACCAAGGACATTTTAAAAAAATGAAGTTGTCACATCGAGTCTCCATTGACATTTTCAGTATCCGGTATGAATGTGTGAACATTATCAAAAACAGTTAAACACATTTGTTCTTGTTATTGTCACAGATGTTCGCCACAGTGACACATTGTTCCTGAAACACGTTCCAGGATGATTGGGCTGATATGCCACGAGGAGCAGCAATCAGTCGACAGCAGGTGTCATCAGGAAAGTGCTTCCTCAGGTGTCATACGGACAATTATTTCAATCAATGGAACGAACAACGCACATGGACAAGCACCGAGTGCATTACGAAGACGCGCTAGCCAATGACCATAACCCCATGTCCAGGTCATGTGTGACATGGCTAGGATCCAACACATAGCACAGTGGACAACAAAAATTGAGTGAAACCATATTCTTTGCGATAGTTACTAAGCTACCGGCGATGTTGCCTTTGTTGTATACAATGTAGCCCCGTTAATCCAGACTTGACCTACCACGATTTGTTTGCTTGTTGATTTATCTGTTGTTTTACGCCTCACTCAGCAATATTTCACCTATATAATGACAGTCTGTAAATAATTGAATCAGGACCAGACGACCCAGTGACTGACATCATGATCATCAATCTATGCAATTTTGGTACGATCATGCTCAAATAATTGCTATAGGTTGATTTATTTTAGGATGATGGGTATATATTTTTGTTTTAATACAAATACTGTAAAACATATGTCCAGAAGCCGAGGTTAATTAGGTCCGTGTTGCTGTTTACAATACACTTACAAACCCAAGTTCGTCAATAATTGGGGACGGTTAGGTAACCTAGTGGCTAAAGCGTTCTCTCGTCACTCCGAAGACCCTGGTTCGATTAGCCACATGGGTACAATGCGTGAAGCCCATTTCTGGTGTCCCCCGTCGTGATATTGCTGAGATTTGCACGTGTGTCTAAAAACACGTGGCAAACATCAACCAAGCTGATGCGCCCCAAAACACTCAGTCACTGTCTGATTCCATCACGGTTGAACCTATCATATATAACTGTCTATGTCCTATGCCCTCATGAAACATTTTAAACATTGATGACAACTTCTTTATTCTATTATGATGCGACGTTTCGTTAACAGAATTTTACTGTTTCTTACCAACTTCTAAACATGCAAATCAAACATGTTAAGACAGGCAATGTATCACAGATGAAAATAACGGAGAACATGAGGACGAACATCAAAACGTCAAAGTTCAACGGATTTTCATATCCCGAGTTCAAACAAGAGGGCAGCAAAATTCGTAGAAACCTACATCCGGGAACTGTTGTGACACCCGACGTCCCAGACACAGGTGGGCGTGTCCTGGCAAGTCGAACCTAACAAGGACTATGATTCAATTACAGAATAGTAACTTGAATCAAATTTGTTTTATTCAGGAACAATTGCAAAGTTTACATCAATGGGGAAACGAATCGCCACTTGACATAGCTGATAGGGAGGCAGTCTTCATCTGAAATTCTGGATCCCGTCTTCAAAGCTGTCAGTCTCTGTATAACTTGGTATCGATGCATCACGACCGTTTGGGAGTGATTTAACAAAGACCGTTCTAATTCTTCTTGCCCTTGTTTTGATCCTTTTCGCCAATCTAGTGTTAGTTGTGACAAGTTTTGTTGTACCTAGAACACACGCACATCATGTATCACATGTATCAGAGTAAATTTGATCTAGCTCGTATCTGAAACAAACGACTGTTTATTGTATATATCAATGTCCTCAGCATTCGGCAGTGCAACTAGACATTGCGCAGTGTACAAATCTACAATCTAAAGCGTATTAAACCAAACATTTTGCAATTGTTAGAATGACCGAAATCAATTAATGCCGTAAGGTTCGGAACAATACGATGATATGGTTACAGGCATTCTACAGGACGTAGGTTCAGAGATCTAAATGTGGTAAGAGATCCATGTAAAGGGAGAACTAAAATGTGGTTAATTAAGAATTGACCTTCACTTTGTGTGAGTTCATTGGAGTATGAACCTGCATAGAGTGAGGGCCAAACTGTATGAACGTCGGAGCTTGCGTCAGTGTTTACGTCATTTCAAGAACACGGTCTCGTGAAAAACGTATGAACGTCAAATTGTGTCGTTCATATACTTATGAACGTCATTTTCGCGGTCATGAGACCGACCTCTCGTCTAATGGAAAAGCCGTATATCGTGTAAACTTCAAATTAAAAAATTATAGATATATGTACAGAGAACACACACGTGGTTAACGATGTGGTTTAAACTTATCTATTTTCACAAAAATGTGAAAATTGATTGGTAAACAAGCGAAGAGCTTATGTTAATACCGCTCCATTACACATAGGACATATTACAACAAATACATCAGTGAAGGTTAGATGTAGCAAATGAACTGTCGTGCCAAGCTAGATGTGTATACATAATAAATCTATTAGCAGTAAATATTAAACAATTCATTTAACTGAAAATCTGGCAGATTTTTATATAAACTTTTGAATAGAATCTAATATTAAGATTTGCTCTTCCTTACTCAAATACGAATTTCAGCATAGCACTGTTTGTAAAGGATAACCAAGTTGGTAAAAATACATTTCATTTCGAAGAACATAGTAATTTGTACGCACAAAAAAGAAGTCTAGAGCATTTCGGGTATGATATCCACAGGAACATGTTTTTGTATCCAAGATATATCTATTATACTAATCTGCGTTAAGATCGCCTGAGGCGACTGTGAATGATTTGACATAATCTGCTTCCATAATTTAAATCCAAGTTTATACCATTACCTCCCTTTACGTGAAGCAAATTCTTGAATTGTGTAACGGTCTCTGTTCTCGTTAGGTTTTCTGGTAACATATTCCAGAGTTGTAGCTGGTGTAAATGAATCTGCATAAACTTTTGTTTAAAATTTATACTTCACTGTTTGAAGATTAGTTTTATCCCTTAAGTCTTAATTTGTGTTTTCCGAAACTGTATAAGGAATAAACCTACACAGATATTCCGGGGATAAATGGTTATTCATTTTGTAAAACATTACCAGTTTTAAATTGCATCTTCTGTCTTTTAATGACTTACAATTTGTTTCATTGTAAATCTTCTGATGACTCGTACCCCTGACAGCGCCACATATGGTTCTAAGAGTATGGTTAACGATATGTGCAGAGAGAACAAACACGAGGTTAAAGATATATGTACAGAGAGAACAAACACGAGGTTAAAGATATATGTACAGAGAGAACAAACACGAGGTTAAAGATATATGTACAGAGAGAACAAACATATGGTCAACTATATCTATATACAGAGCACAAACACTAGGTTAAAGATATACCTACAGAGTAAAAACACGAGGTTAAAGATATATGTGCAGAGAGAACAAACACATGGTGAAAGATATATGTACAGTGAACAAACACGTGGTTAAAGATATATGTACAGAGAGATCAAACACATGGTCAAATATATCTATATACAGAGCACAAACACGTGGTTAAAGATATATGTACAGAGAGATCAAACACGTGGTTAAAGATATATGTGTAGAGAATAAACACGTGGTTAAAGATATATGAACAGAGAGAACAAACACGTGGTTAAAGATATATGTGTAGAGAACAAACACCTGGTTAAAGATATATGTGTAGAGAACAAACACGTGGTTAAAGATATATGTACAGAGAGATCAAACACGTGGTTAAAGACATATGTACTGAGAGACCAAACACGTGGTTAAAGATATATGTACAGAGAGAACAAACACGTGGTTAAGGATACTGAAATGTTAAAAACGGAGGCCATGTGCAAGCATCATAAATTGTCAGTGTTTTATACTCACTCCTTAACCACAACGATGTCACTGTGGTAACACACATGGCAATAACCAAAGCTGTATATCTGAAACCGATATAAGAATATACAAGTGAGTAAATGTATTTATTAGTTGGATAGAAATACGTCACTCTACAGATTTACAATACTAAAAGAGCTATACTTACAGGTTCTTCATTGCGCAGCTTCCAATCGTTACTTGCTACCAGCAACCGATGAATACAATCAGAAACCAAACCAAAAAATCGCGTGAATCAACAGTGATATCAAATCAGCACTCCTTTCAATGAGCTGACACCTCCACCCATCACTCTCCCTGGGTGTGACACAACTCGTGTACAAAGTCTGCGGCACTGCCTGGGGGTAGTTCCGGCATCACAATGATCATCAACTGCACTGATTCCTGTGTCCCGTTAACCCCGTGGGGATTCCGGGTTGAAGTAGGACCCTAGTCTGTCACAAGACCCTGAAACAAATATTTCCAATACAGCACATGCAAATCTATAATGTTTGGCAAGTCTAAATTACTGCAGTATCGGGAAATGAAGAAAGTCTCTGGGGTCCTTATCATTATATTTTATTACTATAATTTAACAACTGTTTTTTTCTGTATAATATGGTTATTTCAGAGAATAGACGTTAGTCTAGTAGGGCCCGGCAACTGATGCTGGTCGTAAGAGGCGACTGTATGGATAGCTTGACCATCTTTAGCCATCTGTTTGTACTCTCTGTATCTATATCTTTACCCATATGTTTGTTTGTACCTATATCTTTACCCACGTGTTTGTTTGTATCAACATCTTTACCCATATGTTTGTTTGTATCAACATCTTTACCCATGTGTCTGTACTCTCTGTATCTATATCTTTACCCACGTGTTTGTTTGTATCAACATCTTTACCCATGTGTTTGTTTGTATCAACATCATTACCCATGTGTCTGTACTCTCTGTATCTATATCTTTACCCACGTGTTTGTTTGTATCAACATCTTTACCAATGTGTTTGTTTGTATCAACATCTTTACCCATGTGTCTGTACTCTCTGTATCTATATCTTTACCCACGTGTTTGTTTGTATCAACATCTTTACCCATGTGTCTGTACTCTCTGTATCTATATCTTTACCCACGTGTTTGTTTGTATCAACATCTTTACCCATGTGTTTGTTTGTATCAACATCTTTACCCATGTGTCTGTACTCTCTGTATCTATATCTTTACCCACGTGTTGGTTTGTATCAACATCTTTACCAATGTGTTTGTTTGTATCAACATCTTTACCCATGTGTCTGTACTCTCTGTATCTATATCTTTACCCACGTGTTTGTTTGTATCAACATCTTTACCCATGTGTCTGTACTCTCTGTATCTATATCTTTACCCACGTGTTTGTTTGTATCAACATCTTTACCCATGTGTTTGTTTGTATCAACATCTTTAGCCATGTGTTTGTTTGTATCAACATCTTTACCAATGTGTTTGCTGGTGCCTATATCTTTACCTATGTGTTTGTACTCTCTGTAGCTGTATCTTTAACCATGTGGTGTTTTGTATCTACATCTTTAAGCACCTACACATTTTGGAGAAAATCACTGGCAAGAAGAACAAGAAAGTCCTTTGTTGTCCATTGTCACGCGTAATAACAGAGTCTGGCAGTTTCGAAGATGGGATCCAGAATTTATGATGCAGATTGATCACTAACTGCTTCACTGATCGTGTTTCACTATCAACCATGTGTGTTGTGTGTTTCACTATCAACCATGTGTGTTGAGTGTTTCACTATCAACCAAGTGTGTTGTGTGTTTCACTATCAACCATGTGTGTTGAGTGTTTCACTATCAACCATGTGTGTTGAGTGTTTCACTTTCAACCATGTGTGTTGAGTGTTTCACTATCTACCATGTGTGTTGAGTGTTTCACTATCAACCATGTGTGTTGAGTGTTTCACTATCAACCATGTGTGTTGAGTGTTTCCTTTCAACCATGTGTGTTGAGTGTTTCACTATCAACCATGTGTGTTGGGTGTCTCACTATCAACCATGTGTGTTGAGTGTTTCACTATCAACCATGTGTGTTGAGTGTTTCGCTATCAACCATGTGTGTTGAGTGTTTCACTATCAGCTTCTTCTTAGGGCCGACTGGCCTTGCGACCTTCCCTGAATGCTATATCCCGTGGCTCAACAGTGAAATCACAATAAAGCCTGATTCATGACCAGTGTGTCACTGTAGCGTACATCTGTGACATTATCACGTACAGTGTATTTATCTATCATTGACAATGAGGTCACGCACATTCGTGCCGGATACAAAATGTGTCAGGGGAGACTCGATGTGTCAACAACCCCACTTTGTCCACGTTTCTCTGTACGTGGAGCCATTAGGGGAACTGAGCAACAAGGAATAACGAAAAGTGTTTATACAGTTTCACTAGTCATTTATTGTCTGTAGGCTAGGACCACCTCCGTGGTCTAGTGGTAGAGCGTCGGCCCGGAAAGCGGAAGTCCGGGATTCGATCCCCGGCCGCGTCATACCAAAAGACGTTAGAAGATTGTACTTGTTGTTACCCTGTCTGGCGCTCGGCATAAAGGGGCTAAAACAAGGACTGGTCGGCTCGGAGTCAGTATACTGTGTCTGAGTGGGGTATTCATGTTAAACTGCCGCATGGTATCTCAGTGAGCTAGCACTATAAATCGGCATCAATCCGGGCTAGCACAAGCAGCCACACACACATGTGCACACACCTCGTTATATAAGTGCAAAAACGCGACGTTAAACCAAATTTCACCTCACTCTGCAGTCTAAACAATACTGCTTTTAAGGAGAACTGTTGTGGAAATTTCGCAAGAGATAATTGTTTCTCGTGACTATACCAACCATACCCTCTATCATAAATATGTTTTAGTTTATTTACGGTAAGTCATTCAAGACAAGACCGTGTCTTTTTCTATAAACTTAATTGTTACTAGATTGTAGTTAAATTGTGTTTAATTAATAATTATGAATGTGTTATGTGTTGATAAATGTGACAGCGAATGCTGTAGAGGATATTTAATTCATTGTAAGCCAGTTGTGTTTTATTCCCCTTTTAAATATGCTTCAGACATTTCACCGCGTAGCATTTTAATTCCAGAAGTACGTTCTTTTGGTGCATTTCTTAGACGTTTGCCAAAGGACACACCAAGTGTCATAATCATAGTGAATTTCGGATTCAAACCCATCATCATCAGGGACGATATTCTGCAGAGTACGGATGAAAGTAGGTGTAATAATGTTTGTGGACAAATAATGTCGCAGCATGTGATGTGTTCCCAGGAGCCGTATAATAATGATAGTGTTTATTTCTATTTCTTTGTAGTCTAGTGGATAGAGCGTCTGCCCGGAGAGAGGAGGGTCGTAGGCTCGATCCCCGGCCGAGGCATTCCAGAAGGCATTAAAAGATGGTACTTGGTTACACTAGTTGCCTGGTGCTCGGCAGTAGGGGTCTAAATAAGGACTGGTCGTTTCGGAGTCAGTATACTGTGTGTGAGTGGGGTATTCATGTTGAACTGCGGCATGGTATCTCAGCACAAAAATATTTAATAGTCCGGACTATTAGAAGGAGACACACTCACCCCAGACGTACACACACACCACACACACACACACACACACGCACGCACGCACGCACTCACACACACACACACACACGTGCATGCACGTCGGTAAAGAAGTGCAATAATATTACAACGTATACCCATTTTCATCTCACTTCGCTACTACTTCTGCTGCTACTTGTTCGTATAGATATATGTTCGTGGCCTTTCAAATTACATTGGATATGTCAGTCACCTTATGTTTATATGACGATTGTGTCAAAATCAAGTCACGTAAATAGACATTGTTGTGTTGTGTCCATGTGTCAATAATCTACCTATTCATTACATTATCTTGGAACTAAATCTCATATTTTCACGCTCAACGAAATATTTTCTGATGTTTGTGTGGTCGGTAACAGCTTAGTAAATATAAAGATGTTCATGTTAAAATAATAAGATAAACCTATGATGAGAATAAGTATTAACATATATTAATATATACCCTTGCTCGGGGCAATATAGTTCCTGTAATCCCCATCACCGTGTTTTCAAGACGTCTAAGCGATTCCTAATAGCGATTCAACGTACTTCACTGATGTCCTTAAATGAAATGGCATAGTTAATCTAACCAGATCACGTGAATTCGTCTTATCACTGAGAAGAATTCTACCCCGACCATATGCTGGACCTGTTTTATAATCCTTATCTTTAGTGGAACATACCCTAACGATAGAAAAAAATACCTATTATTTCAATTCAGCTCATCGAGTTCAACAGCCGTTGCCAAGATGAACTCTCTTATTGTCATTGCTTCCTTGGTGGTGGTGTGTGTCGGGCAGGTAGGACAACGAACCTTATGTCTTATTCGTTGACAATTGCTATATAAATATGTTTCTGTGTAAACAATGAAGATCTAAATATTATAAATAAATAAGGAATTGCATGTTGTGAATGAAAAAGGTCACGACTTGTATGTTAAACAGATGTTAAAGATCAGCAGAATCTCTGCCGCTATTCAAAGCACAGCTAAGACTGTAACTTTTCAGACTCTTTTTTCCTTTCCTTTTTATCCTTGTTGTTGTGATGCGATTCACGCCTCGCGGCGGTTGCACTGTACAAAGAGACTTCTAACGAATCACCGTGAATCGACAATCAAGATGGATGTAATCTGTCCAATGACTGTAGACCCACACCAATAGCCGTACTTTGTAGTGACGCTGACGATCACATGGCTCTTCAAACCATATGTTAAATAGATAAGGACTTCGATTCGTCACTGCTAATTGTGGTACTCCGTTCTTTACACGTTAATGCTTGACAGTCATCTCAAAGCGGTGACGTCCTTTATCTTACGGTTTTCATGCCATCAGTTAATTCTACTTTGCAAATTCCATAACTTCGACGATTTTAAGAACCTGTCCGCGTGACTTCCCCAAGATGTTCAAGCATGCTGCTTGTCATTTGTGCGCTACTGTCATGTATTGTCTCGCCATGATGCCTGCTATTACAATGTAACAATCTTTAAACAACTTTCCGGGCAGTGTATTGGGCACAAAAGCATGTTTCTCTTCTTTTTAGCGTTTGGGTACCTTCAACATAAATAATATCTAGCAGGTATGACTTGCGCGATCCCTTATATTGGTATAAAAGTGTATCTGTTTAAATACATAGCCTCATTTATTACCCAGGTGGTGAAGATACAGGTGTTAAGATATTAAATCCGTACCACACACGTGTGTCGTACAAGGTTGACCTTTTTTTATTCGTTTGGATTGGATAACCGTGACCTCTGTCACACCGGGACTACTTTTTTCATTCATAAAAAAATCGCGAGACGTCATTCATTTTGCAACTACAAGGAAGAACTGAAGCAATCTCATGTGAGCGAGGGATATTAACAAACACTTTATTAAACCAAACAAGATAGTCACATGTATCAAATTCGGTTTGCATCCTATATAAGTTATGCATTGAACTTCCACAGACATTAAATTATCGAGCTATATCCATTTACAATGTTCGACTACCGTTCACTAGTCAGAGGGTCCCCATGAGCGTGACGCACCCGACCACTTTCGCAATTTCCAATTTGATTTAACGTAAAAGGATAAGCGTGGTGAAATGAAGTCAGTTTAAACTATCTTGACAGATATGTAGACTTACTTGTAATGATCCGGTTGTGCCATCAGTGTCGTCTTCGAAGCGTATTTTGTGGCACTGTTTCGAGAGTTGTTTGTTCACGACTGCACGACCAGATCACTCAAAATGAACCATTCCGATACAAATCATTCGAAAACTCCGTGGAAATGTGCCTCATTTCTGATAATGTGGCCAAAATATCCCAAAGGTGAACAATAACATTCCCTATCCCTATTCCCTAGATCACGGTTGTCTTTTCTTATTCCGGTGGTGACCTTGCCCTTCGTTGGAAGCTGTCACTGACATGCAAGCAGACTTGAGCGTGTTGATTTTCACGTCTTCAGTAAAGGGTGGTACAGTAAACATGAATGTCTTTGGCGAACATTCTGATTTCCTTCTTCCAAAATGGTACGGAAATGATATAAATTCAGCTGATAGATCAAGGAAACCGAACCATTTGGAATGCACAGACGGGACCCCGGCAGTGCGAGTGACCGACTGTTGATATTCAAAGCGTGGCGCTAATATGACTTTCAAATTTTCTTATAGATGTCCTGCGTACTTACAACATGGTGCTTGAATTCTTATAAGTTGAAGAAATTCTTCCAAAAGGATCTTGAGCGTCGGTGCTGTTATGTTTTCGATTACAACTGCAGGCGCATGTTGTTAATACGTATGCATAGGAATGTAAACAATGCCCATATTTGGGCAGATATCAATATTCATGCGCAACCAGATTTTGCAACCGGTTTGAGTTTGGTCTGTCAACGGACAAAAGTTGTTATGCGTTTACACTTACATACATATTTAACGTGGGTAATAAATAATATACCACACTCATTCTCGTTAGATACCATTTTTACGAAACTCGTGAACTTTCTATGGCATCTTACGAGAATGAGTGTAGTATTCTCTCTGTATCACCCGGTGCTGGTTATACAGAGAGACAGACATACAGATGACGCGGGACGTATAACGTATGACGTAGATATTTCATATAACAACATAACAGCATCTATGTTTATAGGATGTAGCATATCAACAATAGGTCACAAGTTGAATATCTGCACATACACATTGATTTCATGATGGCCATAACGTGTAAATGGGAAGGAGCTTTGTATCCTTTTTATTGCAAACGATTTTACTATTTCGTTGAATTTTCAACAAACAAGCCATGTATGATAATTATGTGTATTATGCGAGTGAAGTGCGTATGAATACAACGTGTAACATATAAACATGGAGCCACATCGCCTTATTTCATCCATACAATAACACCCATGCGAACCGTTGAGACTGTTGAATTCCACGCAGAAAAAAACATGCTTGGGCAAGTCAAGTATTCACCCGAACAAGCATAGGAACATGTGTTATAAGTCAAAATAACTAATTGCATCGGACAGTATTTCGGACCTGATGTGTCTACCATTAAAAAATGGGGTCTTGAATGTTGTGATCAAACAACTTTTGAGCAAGATTCGTATGGCGTTCTTTGAAATCCTCGGAGAGAGAGCATGCTCGATTGTTCCTACAGCATTTCACAGCCTCGAAATACTGGAATACTGCCAGATAGCAAGTGAAACCTGAAGTCATCCCTCTTGTCATACAGTCATGTGGATAGCGTCAGGCGGAAAACAAACACTTTATACTTTTATAAAATCGTGTAAGTGGTGCGTCACCCTTTTCGCGAACCCCTCGTGTCGTCACTGTTTTTCAGTGAACCACTGTTTGCCCATTGAACCAAAAGGCTTCTTCCTTGGCCGTTGACGTTTTAGTTTTGTTGGTTGTGTAAATCCGTGGAAGGAAAACGGCAATTTGACCATTGCTGAATGATATCGGATCATCAGATTTTGCCCGTTATTTAAATTTACATATATTTAGATTTCAAGGAAAAGACAACTTGGTTATTTAAGCCAGTTTATTTAGTTGTCCCATGACTCTTTGTTAACAGGCGCAAGATGCGTCAACGACAGCAAAGGTCCATCACCACAGTCACCACTCGCATGCCGCCCACGCCCACACAACACACGAGCCCAAGGAGACAGAGCAGTACTCCTTTGTCTATGACGGGAGAAGTGTACGTACAAGTAGTGAGTGAGTTTGTTTGTTGTTTAACGCCGCACTCAGCAATATTACAGCTATATGACGGCGGTCTGTACTTAATCGAATCTGGGCCATACAATCCAGTGATTGACATCATGAGCATCGATCCACGAAATTTGGATACGACAGCATAATCGCCCTTTATGGCAGGCATGGGTTGCTGAAGACCTATTCTACCCCGGATCTTCACGGGTCTAGTGAGTGAGTGTATCGGGTTTAACATTGTGCTTCAACTTGAGATGGGAGAAACATGCCACGATCTGGGCGAATCTAAAACTCGCACCCAAGACCATTGACTTCTGGCTGAAATCGTCGCCTTAGACGACTGGACCACCCGTGTCCCCACGGAAATGGCAATCTTTTTCTTTTAGGATTAACGATCTATAATTATGGGTTGTCCCATATACCAATGATAAATTAATAAACTATGCAATATTGCTATCGATGTTGCAGCATGACATGGTTGTGAAGACGGCAGACCAGTGCTACATAATGCCTTTGACAGACAGACAGAGAAACCAGGTCCACGACCCCGATAACATCAAGAAAGTTGAGGTGACAACATTAACTTGATTCACTGAAGTTTGATAAAACATACGAACAAATACGTACAATATTAATATTTGTTTTACTGATATGCTTTGTGTTTTAGAATGCATGTTGTGTTATGTTTTTGTTGTTGAGATACAGTCAGCTGAAGCTTGTTGAGTGAAACGCTGCCAGTTGCATTACACTGCCTGTTGTGTTAAACGCTCTCTGTGTTTATACACTGCCTGTTGTGTTATACATTGCCGGTTGTGTAATGAGCTGCCTGTTGTGTTATGAGCTGCTTGTTGTGTTATACATTGCCTGTTGTGTTATGAGCTGCCTGTTGTGTTATGAGCTGCTTGTTGTGTTATACATTGCCTGTTGTGTTATGAGCTGCCTGTTGTATCATAAACTGACTGTTGTATTGTAGACTGTTGTGTTAAATGTGATACAAATGCGTCTCGTGTGATAGGCCGTTGTGTTATAGGCTGCGTGTTGTGCTGTTTGTAAAGTCAATACTGCGAATGTTTAAGAATAAATTTTGTGTTATAGACTGCGTATTGTGATGTAGACAGGTTAAAACATTAGGGGTGCTTGTTTTGTTACAGGCTGCTTGTGACACACTGAGGCTGTTTATTGTGACAGTAGGTCTACGTTTTGTGTTATAGGCTGCTTGTGACACACGAAGGCTGTTTATTGTGACAGTAGGTCTACGTTTTGTGTTATAGGCTGCTTGTGACACACGAAGGCTGTTTATTGTGACAGTAGGTCTACGTTTTGTGTTATAGGCTGCTTGTGACACACGAAGGCTGTTTATTGTGACAGTAGGTCTACGTTTTGTGTTATAGGCTGCTTGTGACACACGAAGGCTGTTTATTGTGACAGTAGGTCTACGTTTTGTGTTATAGGCTGCTTGTGACACACTAAGGCTGTTTATTGTGACAGTAGGACTACGTTTTGTGTTACAGGCTGCAGCTCTCAAACTGATCGTCGACAAGTCTGTTGACAGCAACGTTGACCAGTCCATTCTTGACCATCATCTGGCACATTTTTGCAAAGGCTCCTCCAAGATCATCTTGCTCAACAACAACTAATCAATGTTCTCATCCTCATAACTAGCCCAGTATCATAACATGTCGTTGTGTGGTTGCCCTGTGTGTATGAAGGAGTGAAATAAATTGATTATTTGGCACAATGTGTTTCATTGTCTGTGTCATTTGCAATATACATTAGCCAAAACTCATACCCGTCCAGGACTCAGTAACGTTGACATTTTGACATTACATAATTATCTCATTGATATGAGACCTAATTTTTGGAGAGTGTTTGTTCGTTTAGTTCAACACCGTTATGAACAATGTTTTAGTTACATCAGGGTGTGGCAGGGTAATGGGGGGAGAAAGACGCGGGTATCAGACGTCACGATCAAGATGTTTTATTGTACTAAAGGCCTCCGGCCTACAACGAAACAAAGTACAAAGAGATAATAGTGAGTGAGTGAGTGAGTGAGTGAGTATGGTTTTACGCCGCTTTTAGCAATATTCCAGCAATATCACGGCGTGGGACACCAGAAATGGGCTTCACACATTGTACCCATGTCGGGAATCGAACCCGGGTCTTCGGCGTGACGAGCCAACGCTTTAACCAATAGGCTACCCGACTGCCCCCCAAAGAGATAATATCAGTGAGTACACCACAGCTAAAGAGATGTACTGCATACAATACATATGTGGAGACAGTGTTACAATGTCGGTGTACACAATTATTTTACGTAGTGAAGTCACGATACCATAAACGTCTTTCTCCGACAAAGTACATGGTAAACAAAGAGTGCTGACCAAAGAATTATTTTTTTCATCCTTGGAGTTCAACAAAGACTTTACATGAATTCAAATTTGGTTAACGCAGGTATTTCTGTGGGATATATGCTTCCCTTAAATCAGTATAAACAGTACAAACAACTAGCATATGGAAATCATTCTCTATACAAGTTTGACAGAAAGGACACAATCTAATTGGTTTCGGTATGGAACGCTGTTCAGTGTTAACCATTATTTCAGACAACCCGAGACGAATCTTGAAGATGTAATGCGCAAACATTTGCAGGTTGTAACATTTAAACACAATTCAGGTTCAGTTAACGATTTAAACATCTTTACATGGTTTATCTTGAACTATTTTCAAGTGTCTATCTCCAGTCCTGCTGAAACATGTCTGGTGACTTTCTATAAAATATTCTTTGAAAATCCTGTTTATTGCCGACACCTTGATACAACTACACATAAACGAAACTGTGATAAAATAGCATATAACGAATATTTGATGCCCATTTTATGTACCCATCATGATTGTCCAGATGCAGAAGCATTTTGTATGCGTTTCTAGGCAGGGTGTGCATTTCTAAATCTTTAAACCAGTATTTAAAAAAAATAAAAAACGAATACATGTATATTTATCATCCAAAACTAGTTCCCACAGGAGATATCGCTTGGGTCAGATCAAGCGATAACTACATTGTAGATATCGCTGTTATAAATCACTGCTTGGTCAATCCAGGTCACATGAACATTATGACCATTGGGACTACTTTTACATCATGAAAATCAACAAACATGGCACATCAAAGTTTTATGCAGGTGATAAAGTGTCAATTGACGCGTCTGGGCAAGCAACAGTTGGTAAGAATGATGGTGAAGGAAACTATATGTGTAGACTGGATAGAACTGACTACGAAATGGAGCTAATGGAGACAAGAATCAGTCTTATCGGCAGCTGGGCGGCCGTCAGCGTTACCGTCATCAAGGTCAAGTTCAAGTTGCACAACTACAGGGTCGAGCGAGTCCCTACACTCCCTAAAGCCAATCCCAAATCACGCTTTAACCGAAGTCGATGATAGTGATATAGACAAAATGATTGATACGCAGGAAAATGAAAACACTGCTGGAAAGACACTTCATGACATTAAATTGTTGAACCAGTTTTTATTGTCTATCCTCGAAGGTGTATTCTTAATGAAATTCCACCCGACGATCTCTACACAATACATTGCAAATGAATAATTTCTGTGCGGAAAGAGGATGGGTGAGTGCGAAACTAACACACTGCGGAGTATTGGGTCGTCAATGGAGAGATACCTGCGCCGACACAATTACAGCTCCTCGCTGAGCGATGACACTGAGTTTTATGAAAGGAAAACAAAACAATTAAAGTTAATGGGTAAAGATAACTCACCAAACAGGTGTGACGCTTTAACCGACAATGAAATTAATATGTTGTGGGAGACCAAACAATTAGGAAATTCGTCGCCAGATTCCATAATTAACACTCTCTTTTTTAACAACACCACACATTTTGGTCTCCGTCGGTCCGACGAACACAAAAAAAATGTTTTGGGTGGATGTTGAGCTCCGCGTTGACAAATGGAGTACCCCGATTTCACAGAAGGGTATCCCAGACAAGACAAGGTTCCGATCACCAGGGCACCAAGGATGATACTCCTAAGATGATTGTCACTCCTGAAATGTAAAACTCGTTGTCCCATTGAAATATACAAGCGCTACCGTAATTTGAGACCTGGCAAATATTCCACTCCAGATTGTCATTTCTACATTGCAAGCTCCACAGTTAAAAATCAAAGTTCGTCATCAGGTGCACGTAAACATTTGGTGCAAACGCTGAACGATGCAAACACACGGAAATATCCTCCATTCTTTCAAGATCAAAATCCAGAGCTATTGTACTGCGTTCCGAGATGAACAGGGAGGTTCACAACGCCTGCTGTTCGCAATATATTGCGAGGTTTGTCCGGTTGCTACCATGCCGCCGCCTTTAACTCAACATGAGCTTCATACGTTTCATCAGTTTTTGGATCGAGTTAATTTTCAGGTGGTACTTTTACGATTAATGTAAATTATGTTTCAAAAGAAAACACGCCGAACTGCCGTTATATACAGTGATTCAGAATTTTCTCTCTTCTGCCACACAATTTGCAAATATCGACTTGACATTTCGCACATACTTTCTTACATTGAAATGTTTTGGTGTGATAAAGGTGCGCAAAAATGCAATCATGCATTATTTTTGCCGTATGAACTGTGTCTTTAGTGCCGATAATGGCAATTTCATTGTGCAACAATTATTATCAATGAAGACACACACAAAAAGTCTGCTTGTTTTTATTCACATGCTAAATGTATGCATACGCCAATATTGTGAAGTTCACCCTAAGAAACGCGTAATTCGATTTAAGAATAATAATGGTTGACAAATAAAATCTCACCCTCGTGTCTTATATCAAACATATCAACACTCGTTATATATATATAATATCTTCCACATTTGCCATAAACTATACAGTTTTCAGTTGACATTCCTGTCGTTTTACTTGCATATAAATATATCTTCTCTATTGATTCATAGTTTTTAAAACCACAAAGTTCTGACCCGTATAAAAGGATCGACTGTATTTGGACATCATATAACGTAAAACAGACTCTCAGGGGAACATGTTCCAGTTTGTATACAGTGGTAAGTAATATGATCATTGCTTTCTTGGCCCTCACAGCTAGAGTCTGGACAGTTTTTCCTAAATACAAAGTTTTAGTTAATATAATATCCAGGTATTTAAATGCATCCGCTGGACTAACTGAGGTGTTTTTGACAAAACAAATTTTCGGAATTAGCGAGTTGTCCACCTCCCCTAAACATAACCAGATTTGTTTTATATAGGTTTGCTGTTAGTAACCATTCATCAGTAAACCTTTCTACGATACTGAGCTGGCTTTGAAGCCCCATAACAGCATCATCAGCATTCCAAAGCATGAAAAACTGTAAAATATCTAGGTACTGTCCTTGCCTGTGTTTCCCATGAAGACCCGTGAAGCTCCGGGCTAGAGTAGGTCTTCAGCAACCCACGCTCGCTGTGAAAAGTGACTCTGCTTGTCGTACGAGGCGACTAACGGGATCAGGTGGTCAGGCTCGCTGACTTGGTTGATGCATGTCCTTGATCCCAATTGCGCAAATCGATGCTCATGATGTCAATGACTGGATTTTCTGGACCAGACTCGATTATTTATAGATTGCCGTCATATAGCTGAGATATTGCTGAGTGCGGAGTTAAACAACAAACAAACAAACAAATCTAACAATAACGTACGTTAACTCGTTACTGAAATGTGAGAATACCATAGGTCTTAAAAGCAGTCTTGTTTCAAACCAAGAGGACAAACCAAGAGGACAATCGAGAACGTCTATAACTGATCATCAAATCGTACACTTGCTCTTACATTTGTGCACATACCTTTTAACATTTGCAGCATTTAACCCTTCAGGCCAGTATTTTGGAACACAGAGCCATAATTTATTCTGATTAAGAGAATCAAACGCTTTCTCAACGAATCCTACGTAAAAGCTTCTACTTACGCTGTAAGAGATTTTTCTGAACAACAGTATAACGTGTAAAAATGTGGTCAGATGTGGAATATTTCTTTCGAAAAACAGCTTGCTTTTCAAGAATTTTGTCCCTCATATTTGCCCAAAGCATATGTCTCTGGTTGACAAAGCATGTACAACCTTTGCTTTGTGTACTATTCAGGGATATTCCTCTGTGGTTATCTGGATTATTAGGTTCCCCTTTTTTTGTGGAAAGGTACAATTGTAGATTTCGAAAACATATTAGGGAAACGGCCTCTTGAAGATATCTCATAAACATATTGACAATAACGGCAGTATAATGTCCTAAGACCACTTCAGCATTTCAAAACGAAGATTTTCTAGTCCAGGGGACTTTCCATTCTTTAGAGAATAAATTGCATCGATATTAATATCAACAGTGATACATAGATGAATGCCAGTGTAGTGATCATAATAAAATGTATATGTATCAGTACTGGTTTAGTTCTCAAACATATCAGCAGTATGGAAGACTTTGAAATGAATTAAACATTCGGTGGGATTTATCTTGGAATTGGTATATGACTTAGAGTTCATATTTCGAATCTCTTTCCAAAACTTTGTAGGGTTCTCAGAGATTTGCATAATGTGATTTACATAAATAGCTTTATGTTGCCGGACTTAAGATATATGCCTCCGACTTGTTTGCTTATATTTATTCCTAATAGGACAGTTTAGTTTTCTGGAATGCTCATTTCTATGTCGTCTGAACTGTCGAATTGCTCACCCGCAGGCACGGGTCGAAGATCTTCATTAACCATTTAATATCATTCTGTTACGTTTTTTATGGATAATTGATACACTTCTTTTCATACAATCAGCTGATTCTAAAATCGAATGTACAAAATCGTTCAGAGTTTTATCCTCATTAACAACAGAAGATCTAATAACACAGTTGATCGTAAACTATCTAGAAACTGAACACTGTAGTTATCATTCCGAATGTACTTATCATAATGCACGTGGGTAATTCCCAGCTGCTGGCCTTCTGTGTCATCGCCATATTTTGTAAATGAGTTCAAGAGGAAATTGATCAGAATCTAATCTTTCACCAACATTCAACATAGATATGAAAAACATCCTTAGAGCAGACGAAGTAATCAGAAACACAACTGCCCTGGCTACTGGTGTACGTATATTCACCATTAGTGCCACCAACCATTCCACCGTTCACTATACAGAAGTCAAACACGTCACATGAGTTAAACAACGTGCGGCCGAATCTGTTAATACTAGTTTCTTGTGAAGTTCTATCTCGTTGGTGGTGTATGTCTCCACACAACACAATATGACAATCTGATACATCGGGTAATAAATCAGAAACAAACAACTCCAGCTGATCTATAGCACATGTTGATGGGTTATTATCATCATAAGTAGGACCATGCGGAGGACTATAAACATAAACTAGAATAATGTCAAAATCAATTTTAGTCAAACAACGTTATCTAAGATGGTTTTTATAAGTGTGCAAAATTATCGATATCCTAATTAATAAAGACACACATACCACCACAATATCGACCGTTTTCAGATATTTTGATTGCAGATGGATTAAAACGTACATTTACCTAACTATTTGGTAATTCGTTGGACAAAAACGTTTCAACATGACATACAATGTCAAAAGTTTGTAAATAATTTAGAAAGTCGCTGTCTGAAAGTTTGCTGATGAGGAAAAGCGAAGAAATGTAGATTCTAGTAAGGTGTTGTGGATTTCAAGACATGAGCATCTGCTGTCACCGGTGTCGTGAGGAAGATGCTCCTGTGGAAAAAAGACTATTCAGTCTCAAGTTGGTTTCACAGTTTCCCTTGCTTGAAATTCCCCTTTAATCCTACACTACTTTCGAGTTCCTTTAGATGGTTACGTTGGCGAAATGTGAAATCGTAGGTACAGTACAGGGCTGGCATTTAAAGTCTCCACTTTATCATCAGACAGGTTGTTGTTTAGTGGATTCTTAGGCAGTGAACATGACTTACGTCAGATTTGTCCCACGTTGAGAAGCGATATGTTTTCTTAACATAATAATGGCGTCTCTTCCGGTGTTTCTTGCACTCAATAGAAATAGCCGAGTTCACTGTCAATACCTGACATCTTATTCTTCAATACTGTCGACCTTTTCTGTCATGTCGTCATGCATGATACAGTTTGTCTGTCGGGGTGCGTCCCAGTTACACTGGGTGGCGACTAGTTGAGTTTCAATCTGTCCACACGTGGCTGAGAGTGTCTCGACGTCCGACGTGACTGAACTAATTTGACTACTAAAATCCGTTTTACAGTACGAAGCCAAGGATAGTGTTTTGAACCTCTTCAAGAGTAGGCGGGCCAGGGTTAGCTTCTATATCGCCAGAGCAAACTAGCAAATCTGATACAACACCGGCTGACATAGGATGTCCCCCGAGCCAACATAAACCTGGTGCACGGAAAAAGTGACCCGTCGTTGATACAAATGGCCTGTCTGTACTGACGACATGACGAACCACAACTTGAAACATGCTTTCTGCTTGTGTCACATTAGTGAAATCTAGTTCATTTACCTGAAACGTCAGTTGACATGAGCACAAAGAACATCTTTTTGGCATATTCGATCCTGACGTGTACAGTGTCGGCATCAGGCGAGCTGCAGGTATGAGACACGGTGTAGGTCTTAGACGTGATGCAGGTATTGGATATGACGCAGGTATTATTATTATGTACAGATTAAAATAAGCAATGAAGCAAAGAGGGTTTGGGTGATCCCGGCACATTCAGGCTGGCTAGGTATATCATCAGCTCCGGGTCCTTTCCCCCTCTACACGCAGCCCAGACAGCGAATAGGACTAGTCCCAGGAAGAGCTGCCTGGACAAACCCAACCCGAACTTTTCGAAGAATGTGAAGACTCCTCAACACTACAGCCTTCTGTATTACCCAGATTGTATTCCTGTCAGCAAACCCGGGTACTCTCCCAATGTCAGTCAACAGATTGGGTGGTATTCAACCTAAGGCATCGAGAACAACTTAGTACATGGGATGCAAGCTTGACATTTCGAAAGAGAGGTCCGCATATTTGCCATGTTTTTTTCCTGAATCGTGTCAATCAGTGTCAAAAGGGACAGAAAATTCAATTATATTAATTATTTCATTGTATTTATGAAAGAAGACAAGATCAGGCGTGTTGACCTCGATCAGTCGAACAAGCTGAACACAGGCCTGTTCCAAAGAATTGTGTATTTATTTAATATCAATACAACTACAACCACAATGGTTACATATACATATACACATACATACAAATTCTAGCGCAAACACGTGGCATGACGCTATAATGCAAATTAGGTGTCCCACTTCAGCGAATCACGGTGTATTTATAAAGTTCTATGAGAGCACACCGCCACAAGTATTCCTGCCACATAGAACGCACCGCCACAAACATTCATGCCACATAGAACGCACCGCCACAAACATTCCTGCCCACAAGACTGCACCACCACTAACATTCCTGCCAAAAAGAACGCACCGCCACAAACATTCCTGCCAAAAAGAACGCACCGCCACAAACATTCCTGCCAAATAGAACACACCGCCACAAACATTCCTGCCCACAAGACTGCACCACCACTAACATTCCTGCCAAATAGAACACATCTACACAAACACTCCAGTCCAATGGAACACACCGCCACAAACATTCCTGCCACATAGAACGCACCGCCACAAACATTCCTGCCAAATAGAACACACCGCCACAAACATTCCTGCCCACAAGACCGCACCACCACTAACATTCCTGCCAAATAGAACACATCTACACAAACATTCCAGTCCAATGGAACACACCGCCACAAACATTCCTGCCCAGTAGAACTAACATTCTCACCAAGGACAACGCAGAGCAAGAAATACCTATTTCAAGTGAAGAACGCAAATATTCGGAAGTTATTTGTCAACTATATTTGATATGTCATTCCCCTTGGTTTCATACAGATTGGCTGCAGATGAAATCACAGAAACATTTCTGTTGCCAAAAAGTGGGATTGAAACTTGCAAAGATACATAAGTGTATCAGTGAATATTAAGTGTGTTAATGTTTACTTTATATATATGAAATGATATGATTAGTCAGACTAGAATAATAATTTGTGCAAATTCTCTCCATGACATATTTTACATTCCATTTCTTCAACTTAGCCTAGTTTTCCCTCTTATCATTGAGAATAATGCTACCATGTCCATCTGCTAAACTTGTTTTGTCGCCCTTATCTTTAGTGGAACATACCCTAACGACATAAAAAGACCTATTTTTGTCAATTCAGCTCACGTAGTTGAACAGACGTTGTCAAGATGAACTCTCTTATTGTCATTGCTTCTCTGGTGGTGCTGTGTGTCGTGCAGGTAGGACGATGACCCTATGAGCTGATCATGATCACATATGCCTCAGTTTTTAACAATTATTGTCATGTCTTTAGATGGCATTCAGACGTGATACACATAAGAGGGAGAATTTATGGATGGTGAACTTCTTTATTATGAGGAAAAACAACGTTTATGCTTACTCCTTCATCGGGTGATGAAAGTTGTGTTCCGATTAATAGAGAAGTTGACATCCATAAATTCTCTCCCTTAATTATCATGTGTATGGACGTTTGTGTGTAAATAATGCAGATCTAAATAACTTAAATACATAAGTAATCGCATGAAGTGAATGACAAAAAGTCACAACTTGTATGCTAACTTTTTTATTAAGATCAATACAATCTCTGCCAATATTAAGCACAGCTTATAGATCCTTTTTATCGTTATGCGATACCCGCTTCGTGATGTTTCCCCTTACAAAATGGACGTATTCGAAAACCTCACGGTCACGATAACGAATCCCTGTGAGTCAACCATTAAGACGGATAAGATCTGTCCTGCCAACACAATGATGCTGCGTTAGAACCCCCAGTGTTCATATAAATCTTAGTGTAGATATAGACACTAGCGGTTGCAACTGCAACCATTACTATTCATATAACTCTTAGTGTACATATAGACACTACGGTTGCAACTGCATCCCCTTGTGTTCATATAACCCTTAGTGTATATATAGACACTAACGGTTGCAACTGCAACGCCTAGTGTTCATCGTGCATATAAACCTCAGTGTACATATAGACACTAACGGTTGCAACTGCATCCACTAGTGTTCATATAACCCTTAGTGTACATGTACATATGAACACTAACGGTTGCAACTGCATCCCCTTGTGTTCATATAACCCTTAGTTTATATATAGACGCTAACGGTTGCAACTGCAACGCCTAGTGTTCATCGTGCATATAAACCTCAGTGTACATATAGACACTAACGGTGGCAACTGCGTCCCCTAGTGTTCATATAACCCTTAGTGTACATATGAACACTAACGGTTGCAACTGCATTCCAAAGTGTTCATATAAACCTTAGTGTACATATAGACACTAACGGTTGCAACTGCATCCCCTAGTGTTTATATAACCCTTAGTGAGTGAGTGAGTGAGTATGGTTTTACGCCGCTTTTAGCAATATTCCAGCAATATCACGGCGGGGGACACCAGAAATCGGCTTCACACTTTGTACCCATGTCGGAAATCGAACCTGGGTCTTCGGCGTGACGAGCGAACGCTTTAACCACCAGGCTACCCGACCGCCCCTATAACCCTTAGTGTACATATGGACACCAACGGTTGCAACTGCATCCCCTAAAGTTCAATTCTTGAAAGTTACACAAAGGGTGTCTTTGTGTAACTATTCACACTAACTGTTGCAGGAACTGGGTGAGGTTTTGGGATGAGTGTTTGTGGGTTCGTAAGTGAGTGGGAGTGTGGCTGTTGATGGGAAAGCGGGTGGAAGGCGGAAGGTGGTTTGGGGCTATGGTTTATGAGGGAGGCGGTTAGGGGAGTGGGGTTGTTAGCGTTAAAGGTGTGTGGGGTTTCGTGTGCACGTAGGTTATGTGAAAGAATTTGTGCTTATATATTTCCTTGAGAACGGGCTGCTTTAATTTTTTCAATGTATCTGTCCTCTCATGATTCCTTATGGCCGCCGCTTTTTTTTTGTCAATAGTTTCGTGATGCAACGGATCCTAGCATTAAAACTTTGTGTACCATATGTGTAAACCATCAAGTCGGATTGATTCATTTTGGGCTAAAGATCTAAGTCACTAAAAAGCTTTCAGTATGGCATTTAAGGAAACTTTTAGTGACTCTTATATGTGAGTCCTAATTGCTTGAAATTTGTTTAGTTCCTATATCTCAGAGAAAAATGTCATTGACATGAAAAGTAGGTCACCTTGAACAACATTACATGCTCCAGCTGTGTAAGTGTGTCAAAGTTGATAATTGCTACAACTTAAATTAATCATTATTCCTTAAACGTTCATACACTACACAAACACTACCTACTACATGAGGATTGCACTTAAATTGTTACAACGTTGATCAGAGGTCAAAGTCACGGGTTATATAATACTTATACTTAAATTCCTTTTAAACCTTATATTCATAGAGACACTGTTTGGATAATTGGCATATTTGGCCTGTAAGTAAAGGTTTAAGGTTAATTAGGTTTATGTATATTAGCACTCAAGGTCAAGGTCACTAGATGGCTTTCTCTTTGGCATATGACATTTGCTGTAATATTTGTAATTATTGTGCTAGAATGATGAAACTTGGTAAGTACATGTATCTTAGTAAACTCATTGATATGAAAAGAAAGTAATCTTGCATTAAGTTTCATGATATGTGTCTATGCTAATATATATGTTTTTTGTTTGTTTGGCTGTTGTTTAACGCCGCATTTAACCATATTCCGGCTATATGAAGGCGGTCAGACAATAATCAAGTCTGGATCAGACAATCCAGTGATTGGGCATCGATCCATGCAATTGAGATACGATGGCATGCACCACCAAAGTCACCTGATGCCTTTAGTCGCCTCTTACGGCATGTATGGGTGACTGAAGACCTATTCTCTACCCCGAATCACCACGGTTCTAATACAATGTAGTACCAGTTAGATCAAAGTTCGAACATCAGCCTATCAAGTTTCAAGTAAGTGTTCATAACACCAATGTATCATAACATCTCTTTGCGTTGTACCATGTGGGTAATAAACATATACGTGTGAAAATAGTGTTATGTGACTTTTTGTTTGCAGGCGCAAGATGCGGCAACGACTGCGAAGGTCCATCACCACAGTCACCACTCGCATGCCGCCCACGCCCACACCACACACGAGCCCAAGGAGACAGAGCACTACTCGTTTACCTATGATGGGAAGACTGTAAGTACAAGTTGTGAGTGAGTGAGTTGGGTTTACCACCGTTTAAACAGTATTTTAGTTGTCTTGGGGCATATCAGCTTAATGTGGGAGATGAATACCAAGATAAGGCCGAATCTGATAGAAAAGGGCGACGTCATGTTTGTTTGCAAACACTGATAGTTGTACCTACCTATTTTTTTAGATTTAAATCTTCATCCGTATATGGCCCCAACGGATACCGATTTTATCCGCTGGATTTATCTTGCCATGACACCTACCCATTATATAACAAATATCATTTGCACCCCTCACACTTAATGGTGAAAAAGAAATACCATGCTACACCGAGTTTGTTAACATGTCGTTATTATTATTTGTCACACGACGTCGTTCATAATTTGACCATAGAGTTGAACAAGGGTACTTTGTTTTGTTTTGGCAGCATGACATGGTTGTGAAGACAGGACACCAGTGCTATATTATGCCATTGACAGACAAACAGAGAGGCATGGTCCACGACCCTGCACAGATCAAGAAAGTCGAGGTAATCCCGAAAGTCGTAATCCTCACAAAATAGACGTGATTCGCAAACGTTTGGTAAGAGGTACGAATAATGGACAATAATCCGTTAATATCCGTTTTAATAGTATACGATTTCTTGATCATTGTTTAGAGGGGTAGTGATTAACAGCCAAATGTTCTTTGAACAGTACAATACCTCATGGTATGTGCACATGTGGGTTATCGAACCTTGATTGTTAAACACTCACTCATCTTCTCATGATGAAACATGCATATCTGGACATATTCGCGTTTTGATGGACAGCGTGCATGGATCATTCGCCTTGTTCTATTAAACCTGTTTGGTGAACGATTATGTCGGTTGGTTGTGTTTTATGCTGATTATCCTATTAAAGTGGAGTGTTGTGTTATATAGAGAATCTCACCCGAGTGTCTTTTGATATCAAATATATCAACACGAGTTGATGAAAGTGGGAAAACTCCGAGGCTTGCCGAGGATTTTTTTCCACTTTTATCAACGAGTGTTGATATATTTGATATCAAAAGACACGAGGGTGAGATTTTATTTATCATCCAACATCATTCTTCCAACTTTTTCAGTTTGTAGAAAGTTATAAGCAGTGTCTGAAGTGTTTAAAGTACTGCTAACAGCTTCAGTAGCACAGCCATTAGTGATGTCATTTGATTGTGACGTCATTGGTCTGCAAAACATTGTGATGCAATGTCATTGCAGCGATATCTACAGTATAGATATCGCTTGATCTCACCCAAACGACATCTTTTTGGGAGCCAGTTTTGGATGATAAATGTAGGCTGCTTGTTGGGACATTAAGGCTGCTTGACGGGACATTAAGGCTGCTCGTTGTGCTATATACTGCTTATGACATTAAGGCTTGCTGTTGTGGTTATATTGGCCGTCCTTTATGTTATAGGCTGCGGCTCTCAAGCTGATCATCGACAACACTGTCCAGAGCGCTGTTGACCAGTCTGTTCTTGACCACCATCTTGCACATTTTTGCAAAGGCTCCACCACGATCACCATGCTCGCCAACAATTAAACAACGTTCCACTCATCATATCTCGTCCCTCGGTACCTTTCTGAGGATGCTCATCTGAGGATGTGTGTGAAGGGGTGAAATAAACTGACTTTCTGGCACCATGTGTTTAAAATGTTGCGTCCTTTGTGATACACATAAGCGTTAACCTCATACCTGTTCTGGGCTCAGTAACATTAGAGATGTGATATTACATAAATTAACTAATTAAAATCAGATCTCTCTCGGGATTAAAACTAGATGTATCGATTCAAACTAAAATATCTGAATTTTAGAGAGAAGGGTGTTAGTTTGGTTTTAACGCCATTTAGAATAGTCACACCATGGTGTGGCAGCTTGATGTTGGCAAAAAGCCACAGGTATAAGACATGATGCAGGTGTCAGATGTGATGCAGGTATTAGACGTGATGCAGGTGTCAGATGTGATGCAGGTGTAAGACGTGAAGCAGGTATTAGAGGTGATGCAGGTATTAGAGGTGGTGCAGGTGTATGGCGTGGGGCAGGTATTAGACGTGATGCAGGTATGAGAAGTTATGTAGGTATTAGACGTGATGCAGATACATGATGTGATGCAGGTGTAGCGGCCATAAAATTTCCGAATAAACCCTGGACCTTCTGATCAGGTATTAGACGTGATGCAAGTGTTAGACGTGATGCAGGTGTTTGACATGTTACATGTATTAGACGTTATGCAGGTATTAGACGTGTTGAGGGTGTTAGACGTGATGCAGTATTAGACGTGATGCAGGTATTAGACGTGATGCAGGTGTAAGACGTGATGCAGGTGTAAGACGTGATGCAGGTATTAGACGTGATGCAGGTATTAGACATGATGTAGGTATTGAACATGATGCAGGTGTAAGACGTGATGCAGGTATTAGACGTGATGCAGATATTAGACGTGATGCAGGTGTTAGACGTGATGCAGGTGTAAGACGTGATGCAGGTATTAGACGTGATGCAAATATTAGACGTGATGCAGGTATTAGACGTGATACAAGTGTTAGACGTGATGCAGTATTAGACGTGATGCAGGTATTAGACGTGATGCAGGTGTTAGACGTGATGCAGTATTTGACGTGATGCAGGTGTTAGATGTGATATGAGTATTAAACTTTGTGCTGTTATTATGCGTGATACAGGTATTGGACGTGATGCAGGTTTTACACCTGATGCAGGTATTAGACATGATGTAGGTATTGAACATGATGCAGGTATTAGATGTGATGCAGGTATTATGCGTTATGCAGGTATTAGACGTAATGCAGGTATTAGATGTAATTCAGGTATCAGACGTGATGCAGGTATTATGCGTGATGCAGGTATTAGACGTGATGCAGGTATTAGACGTGATGGAGTTATTAGACGTGATGCAGGTGTTAGATGTGATGCAGGTGTTAGATGTGATGTAGGTGTTAGATGTGATGCAGGTATTAGACGTGATGCAGGTATTAGACGTGATGCAGGTGTTAGACGTGATGCAGGTTTTAGACGGGATGCAGGTATGAGACGTGATGCAGGTATTAGGTCTGATACATGTATTTGTCGTAATGCGTGATGCTTGTGTTAGATGTGATGCACGTCATACAAGTTATGCAGATATCAGACTGAGTTCCAAGGTGTTATCAGCACATTATAACATTGTTGTTATTACACATTATACACACATACACCTTCTGCAGCAATGCCACACTGAAGTGATGAACATCCTCGATTTGTTATGGACGTTTATCAACATTCCTGCTCAGCAGAACACACCACCACAAACATTCCTGCCCACTAGAAGTTAACACATCAACTCAAACATTCCTGCCCACGACAATGCACCACTCCAAACACTCCGGCCCACTCGACCACACCACTACAAACACTTCGGCCCACTCGACCACACCACCACAAATATTCCTGCCCACTCGACCACACCACCACAGATATTCCTGCCCACTCGACCACACCACCACAAATATTCCTGTCCACTCGACCACACCACCACAAACATTCCTGCCCACTCGACCACACCACCACAAATATTCCTGCCCACTAGAACACACCACCACAAATATTCCTGCCCACTCGACCACACACCACCACAAATATTCCTGCCCACTCGACCACACCACCACAAATATTCCTGCCCACTAGAACACACCACCACAAATATTCCTGCCCACTCGACCACACACCACCACAAATATTCCTGCCCACTCGACCACACACCACCACAAATATTCCTGCCCACTCGACCACACCACCACAAATATTCCTGTCCACTCGACCACACCACAACAAACATTCCTGTCCACTCGACCACACACCACCACAAATATTCCTGTCCACTCGACCACACCACCACAAATATTCCTGCCCACTAGAACACACCACCACAAATATTCCTGCCCACTCGACCACACACAACCACAAATATTCCTGCCCACTCGACCACACACCACCACAAATATTCCTGTCCACTCGACCACACCACCACAAATATTCCTGTCCACTCGACCACACCACCACAAATATTCCTGCCCACTCGACCACACCACCACACATATTCCTGCCCACTCGACCACACCACCACACATATTCCTGCCCACTCGACCACACCACCACACATATTCCTGCCCACTCGACCACACCACCACAAACACTCCGGCCCACTCGACCACACACCACCACAAATATTCCTGTCCACTCGACCACACCACCACACATATTCCTGCCCACTCGACCACACCACCACACATATTCCTGCCCACTCGACCACACCACCACAAACACTCCGGCCCACTCGACCACACCACCACAAACACTCCGGCCCACTCGACCACACCACATCAAACTTTCCTGCCCACTAGAACACACCGTCACCCTTGTATTTTATGTGGTGTGTACATCCTTAACAATATACACGTGCCTCCCGTAACTCTTACAGAGTAGCTCATGTATGATGCAATTGTGTTCTTATGTTCTTATAGATGTGGTAATATATGCGGTGCGACTGTAAGAGTATCTGTCAGTTCGTTCGTTCGTCCGTCCGTCCGTCCGTCCGTCTGTCTGTCTGTAAAAGATTCGAACACCAACACGGTAACGTTTAGAGTCATACGCACGATAGTAGCATAACACACTTTGAATTGAAAGCATTACCAAAAAGTATTATCACATATGACAAAGAAAGGTCAGATTCGATCTGATACCCTGACGCTAGCTCAGTGGTGCGCGGTTTTGGCAGTGACTGAGGCAGACGCTACCACTCTGTTTTCCAGTCTATGACGAATCAAGCCTGTCTTGTTTAGAAGTTGTATTTTGAAGATGAACTGTAGCGTTATTAAAAGTATATGAGTATAACCCGTGTGTTGTGTTCATCAATGAGAGAAGGGATGGCACATGAACGCTTATGGAGACAGTTCGGAGTCTGGGCCGATAGACCAGTCACTCAATGACTTGAATGACCCTTGACTGCCCAGGCAAGTCGGAGAGTCATGGCTTACCTTAACCATCTCGGCGCGGAACGACAATACGTTTGGTAACTGTAGTAGCTATATATACGGTCCAGTTACCCCCGCTACGCAGTAACGACAGTATGGATTACATACACATCTCATTCAGTATGTGTTTTACTTTTTACATGCATGGAGGATGGGACTAAGGAGAATGGAATTTTTTTCTGTTTCTAATAACTGGTGGTGGATATTGGACAAGACTGAACAAGCAGTCATCAAATTAGTGATAGAGGTGACAGATCTCACAGGGTAACATGCCACACACTCAAATATCGTGTGGTCATGTTTATATTTTTCTAAACAGTTAAGAAGAACTGGAAAAAATGGAAATGAATTAAATTTTAATAAACAACAGCTGTTATTTTAGCACTTGTCTAGAGGAATCCCATGTCCACAATATTCTATCACACTGTTTTAGTATATAACGTAAAAATGAAAAGAAAACAATGAACGGTTTTATTTAAAATTTAACAAAACATGATATTATGAATATTAAACTTCATCATCACTTGTCAAGTTCACTGAAATATCACCAGTTGGAAGTCACAGACAAACAAACCTGAATCTTTCAGACGCAGAGGTTATCCTTCACTTTGCCACCACACTGCAGGGGACTAACAGTTACTGTGTTTATAGGAGCACAGGGGTCATGTGAGTGAGTGAGTGAGTTGGGTTTAACGCCGTTTTTAAGAGCATTCCAGTCATATCGCAGCGTGTCAGCTTAATGTGGGAGGAAAGCCCGAGGTGATGCAGGTCTCAGACGTTTACCACTTCGATGAAACCCACGAGCACAGGTATGGTGCTGACAAACCTAGATACATAATCGGAGCGAACCGGGATTCGAACTCACAATCATAAGTTTCTGGTGTGCCCAAGGGACGCAACTCTGGGCAGCGAATCGCGGCGCCTTAGGCGACTGGGCCACCCGTTCCCCCTCACGCCAAAAGAGCTCACGGTAGTTAGTGAGTGATCTCAACTCAGAAGTACAGAGTATCCATCAACACCTTTGAACACTAATATGTGAATAAACTTAGTCCGCTGAAATGTAATTAATTAAGACACTTGCAGTGATCAGTTAACAAGTACTCAATGAGATAGTATCATTCGTGACCAACTCGTGTTATTCCGGGACAAGCCGAATAGCGACTCGTGCCCCTATCATGGCTATTTTTGCGACCGGGTTCCGTCTTAGCGCAAACGGGCATACCTAAAACAATTGTCAACTCGTTGCGTAATGGTTCACATTTATTTTCCCATATAATATATATATTTCAGATGCACATCGGGACATGCGGAATTATACAGTATGATTGAACACATTTAACTGTGTCTTGGTTATATTTTTAGATGCAAGACATATGTAAAATCAAAAATTATTTCTGAGGGATTCTTTGACGAAGAACTTGAAATCATACGCGCATTCTGATTGGTTTGTCGTATTTTCACGCATAACATTCATCGATAGGGGGACGAGTCTTCTTACAGGTTACGGAAAGAGGCGAGTGGTGACGAATGGAGATAGTATATGGATAGTGGGAAGGCCAAACAACTTCATTGTAAAATAGTAATGCACCTGTAGAATGTGGAGTTCATTCCCAACAGTCGTGGCGGCCGTCGCCTTATATATCAAGGTTGTGCGGAGTGAAATTATATCTTCATTCAGACAACAGGGCAGTTTATATTCATTTCCAATATCCTTTTATAATGAATGATAAATGTTAGAGTCCACCACAAAACCTCCCCGTGTTCATTCTTACAGCAACAAAACAAAAGTGGGGTGTAGAGAAATGGGGCATATAACTAAGTGAGATAATAGTATATAAGTACTGGTGACAGCTCTGTCATAATTGTGACATCAGAAGCATAACTTTGGCGAACGAACATGGGTATATTTGCGATCACTTGGAATGATTCATGCAGACAAGAACTTAAACGAAAATATCCGCAATCCACGAAACACAATGACTTGCTTGATTGCGAAAATGTAACAACGAAAGATAACTGTGCCAATTCGGGGGTTCCCATAGCAATGAACGCTTATTTAAATTCACTTCTGTTGACAAGACATAATGGCTAGACTGGACCGTAGTGGGATGGTTCATGCATATAAAGTGAGCAACAGAACACTAATTAAGACGACTAACTAATGTGTTTGTGCCGCTCATTAACTCAAGACTCACATCTCACTGTTTTGTTTAATTATCTCACTATGTTTTTGATCTATTTGTCAAATTCAAGTGAAACCAGGTCCCGTGTTACACGCATGACACACGCGTGGGTCACTCGTTGCACACGCGTGCTCAACGGGTTGCACACGCGCAACACACCCACCCGTTGAGCATCCATGTCAACGCGTGTGAGGGCAATGCTCTTCTGGGCAGTAGTGTACAAGACCACATCATCACACACATTCCCGCCAAAAACAACACACAGACAGAAATACTGTGTCAAGATGAAATCACAGAAATATGTCTAAAGATTATTTTTTACTTAAACCTGAAAAGGTACGTTAGGTGTTTTTAAAAAAAATATTAAGTGGGTTAATGATGACTTTATCTGTATGAGTGAAATTACATGAATAGTCAGACAAGAACATGTGAACTTTTGAGAATATATTCTCCATGAAATATTTTACATTCCATTGCTTCAACTAGCCCTCGTTTGTCCTTGTTTTCTTATCTCTGAGAAAGATGTTACCACGTCCAGCTGCTGCACTTGTTTCGTCACCCTTATCTTCAGTGCAACATACCCTAACGACATAAAAAGCCCTACTATTTCAATTCTGCTCACGTAGTTGAACAGACGTTGCCAAGATGAACTCTCTTATTGTCATTGCTTCTCTGGTGGTGTTGTGTGCCGCGCAGGTAGGACAAAGAACTTACGAGCTGATCATGGTCACAAACGGACCTTAGTTTGTGACAATTATTGTCCTGTATCTAGACGTTTGTGTGTGCAAATGATGTAGATCTAAGTATTTCACATATAAGGAACCGCACGTGTTGAATGAAAAAGGTCACGACTTGTTTGTTAATGAAAAGCAGTGGATATATCTTTTCAGCGTCTTCTCTTCCATCTTCCTGATACTTGGTATCGTTATTCGAGGGACTTCATATGTAATTTGACTGTCATTATTATGATAACTACGCTGTAGATATTCATACGTAATGCAGAGTAGGTCGGTATTTGTCTATATTCATTTTGTAAACGTAGATGTATACGGTCTGATTGATTTCGTTTGTTGGGTCGTTTTCGTACAGTTAATCCAACAGCAGGCGATTCCAAATAAAATTATTTTTCATATTTCTAGTCATAGAACAACACATTTATGTAAAACTTGTATGTACACGATGTGGATCTGTACTAATACCGATGTAGTACCAGTACGGCCAAAAGCGCTTCAGTAATCAAGTTCCATGTGGTTGTTATGTCACACGTGTCTTTATTTTTTTATTATATATTACATGTACATCGAGTGAACACTTACCTCATTTTTGTATGTATATATACAAAAATGAGGTAAATGTTCACTCGGTGTACATGTAATATATAATAAAAAAATAAAGTCCACGTTGGTCCATCATCTTTTTTATATCAGTTTCAGACAAAGTACTTTCGCTGTCTCATGACAGCTCTTCATCTTCTTTATATCAACTAATATAACAATATAACAAGCATAGTCGCCCGTGTTATATGTACGTCGCCTGTTAAATTATATCATATATAGATAGATGAAACTGATATAAAGAAGATGATGGACTAACGTGGACTTTATTATTTTATTATTATACAACGTACAGAGATATCAGTGATAATTTTTCACTACACATATTGCCTAGAAATTGAGACTGGGTTTTAGCAGATTGACTGGAATGAATTAGACTCCTTAATTTAATCTCCTCAATTTATTTTGGATTTATTCTGATCTTATCATGTAAGTAATAAAACATGTTTCCACAATGGATTGATTGGTTCTTCAAACATGAAATAATGCAGGAGTTTGTTTTTTTTCCTTACCTTTTTATCGTTTGAACTCTTTGCTTGTAGGCGCAAGCTGCGGCAACGACAGTGAAGGTGCATCACCACTCCCACGCCACACACGAGGCCAAGGAGACAGATCAGTACTCCTTTACCTATGACGGGAGAACTGTACGTACAAGTAGTGAATGAATGAGGGATTTGGGTTGGACGCCTCTTCAACCGTGTTTCAGTGTATAAGCTGGGGGTTAGGTATGGAATACTGTAAGGGACATTCTTGCGATCCCGCATTCTCGCGACCTCGACTTTTCGAAACGAGCTGAATATGCCCAAAAAAAGAGAATGCGAGATTCGGCGAAAATCTCGCGTTCTCGCATTCTCATGTTTTGGGTACATAGCACTTTTTGTCAAAGGTCGACAACGCGAGAATGCGACATTTGGACATGATGCGAAATTTCGCAATCTTGACTTGTCAAATTAGGCCACAAAAACACGAAATCGCGAGAACGCGAGAATGCGACAGTTCTTGCAATCTCGCGTTCTCACGTTTTAGGCGCTGTCAGTGCGCATGCGTAATATCATAAGGGCAAGGCGCATGCGCACGTTAGTACTTATGTGGTCATGCTTCTTTCATGGTCTTCATTCTCCGGGTTGCCTTGAGCTTGAAAATGCTATGTTATTTACATACACAAAGTTCTATGTGGAGTACAGTCCTAGAGATTGCGAGATTTTGCATCATGTCCAAATGTCGATTCTCGTGTTGTCAACTTTTGACAAAAAATGATATGAACCAAAAACACGGGAATGCGAGAAAGCGGGATTGTGGCCAAATCTCGCGTTCTCGCGATTTCGCATTCTTGTGTTTTAGGCATATTAAGTTCGTTTCCAAACGTCGAGATCGCGAGAATGCGAGATCGCGAAAATGTCCATTACAGTATTCCATTGGTAGGAGATAAATACTACCATCAAGCAGAATCTGAGAGTGGAAGCTCAGAGGCTCCTGGCAGGCCTCAGTGACGCTACGTACTGTTCACAGCGAATGTCGGCCCCTAAGGCAACTCAGCCATCGATTTCCCAGGTGCAAAACAGTTCTGTGTGATGAATGGGTCAGGCAGTTCGGCCCAGAACTTCTTGCTAAAGACATTCCTTTAAGGAATTTTAGATTGGAATACACACTGTTATTCTGATTCACTGTATTCCAGAATAACGTGTCTGAACACTTATATTATGGAGTGTTAACCCGACTTAAAATATAGATTTTGAAAATAGTTTACCTGATACACTGATATATATTATTTTCCCACATCCAAAATATGTATTACACATTTGCAGTGCTAAAATCATTCAAATACATAACCTTTTCATCCCTTACACATAATTATGAAAAATATATAAAATGCTACATCGGTTATGTAAACATGTTTTTGTGTGACATGCCCCATTATATAACAAATATCATTTGCACCCCTCACACTAAAATGGTGAAAAAGAAATACAATGCTACACCGAGTCTGTTAACATGTCCTTGTTATTATTTGTCACACGACGTCGTTCATTAATTGACCATGGAGGTGAAGAAGGGTGCTTTGTTTACAGCATGACATGATTGTGAAGACAACAGACCACTGCTATATTATGCCGTTGACAGACAAACAGAGAGGCATGGTCCACGACCCTGCAGACATCAAGAAAGTCGAGGTAACGAAGTCTCAATATTCACACAATAGATGTGATTCACTATAACTTGGTACAACATACGAACTCAAGTGAATAATATTAATATCCTTTTAAATAGTATCTCGTTTACGGACGAATGTTTAGAGTGGGTAGTTGGTGATTAACAGCCAAATAGCCTTTGATTTGTTGTTTGTTTGTTTGTTTTGTTGTTTAACGCCGCACTCAGCTATATTCCAGCCTGATGACGGCGGTTTGTAAATAATCGAGTCTGGACCAGACAATCCAGTGATTGACACCATGAGCATCGTTACACGCAATTGGGATACGATGACATGCACCCACCAAGTCAGCGAGCCTGACCACCCGATCCCATTAGTCGCCATTTTCGACAAGATTAGTCGCCCGTGTTATATGTAGGCCGCTTGTTGAGTTAGTTGTAGGCCGCTTGATGGGTTATATGTTGGCCGCTTGTTGAGTTATATGTAGGCCGCTTGTTGGGTTATATGTTGGCCGCTTGTTGAGTTATATGTAGGCCGCTTGTTGGGTTATATGTTGGCCGCTTGTTGAGTTATATGTAGGCCGCTTGATGGGTTATATGATGGCCGCTTTATGGGTTATTGTAGGCCGCTTGTTGAGTTATATGTAGGCCACTTGTTGAGTTATATGTAGGCCGCTTGTTGGGTTATATGTTGGCCGCTTGTTGAGTTATATGTAGGCCGCTTGATGGGTTATATGATGGCCGCTTTATGGGTTATTGTAGGCCGCTTGTTGAGTTATATGTAGGCCGCATGTTGAAATATATATATAGGTCTCTTGTAGAGTTATATCTAGGCCGCTTGTTGAGTTATATCTAGGCTGCTTGTTGTGTTATATGTCGATCACTTGTTGAGTTATATAGGCCATCCTTTATGTTACAGGCTGCAGCTCTCAAGCTGATCATCGACAAATCTGTTGACAGCAATGTTGATAAGTCTGTCCTTGACCACCATCTTGCACACTTTTGCAGAGGTTCCGCTCAGATAACCGTCCTCGCCAACAATTAGTCAATGTTGTCATCGTCATAACAAGACCAGTAACATAACTTGGTTCCGTTCAGGGGATGCCCGGTGTATATACAGGAGTGAAATAAACTGACCACCTGGGACCGTGTGTTTCACATGTTTTTTACCTGCAAGCCATAGAATCATACCCGTTCAGGACATTGTAGCAGTGTGTTCTGATCTTACACAATTATCTCATTAAAATCATATCTGTCTTGAGATTAAAACAAAAGGTACCGAATCAGACTGAAATATATGAATTTTAGAGAGATTTTGTTGGTTTGGTTAAACGCCGTTTTCAACAGTATTTCAGTGACAGGGTGCGGCAGCTTGATGTGAGAGGAAGTATTAGACGTGATGCAGGTATTATGCGTGATGCAGGTTTTAGACGGGATGCAGGTATGAGATGTGATATAGGTATCAGACGGGATGCAGGTGTTAGATGACATTGTGATGAAGGTATTAGACGTGATGCAGGTATTATGCGTGATGCAGGTATTAGACGTGATGCAGGTATTATGCGTGATGCAGATATTAGACATGATGCAGGTATTATGCGTGATGCAGGTATTAGACGTGATGCAGGTATTAGACGTGATGCAGGTATTAGATGTGATGCAGCTGTTAGACGTGATGCAGGTATTAGACGTGATGCAGGTATTAGAAGTGATGCAGGTATTAGACGTGATGCAGGTATTAGACGTGATGGAGGTATTATGCGTGATGCAGGTATTAGATGTGATTCAGGTATTTTACGTGATGGAGGTATTAGATGTGATAGTTTGATGTGGGAGAAAGCCGCAAGTATCAGACGTGATGCAGATATTAAGCGGATTATGGGTTTTCAACAAAAGTAAAAGTCATGAGCATTCATCTGTATCATTGTGTTAATTGTAAGCTTCTCTATTGTGTTTGTAGCTTTGGCAAATACATAAATTATAAATTTATGAACTAGGTAATTTTTTTTTTTATTTTTCCAATTTTATGACGCAATATTTCAGCTATATGACAAAGGTTCATACTCGAGTCCGCAACAGACAAACAGAACCAGTGCATGATCAACGTCCCGCAGTGTTTGGGCACAAGGACCTTTCAATGAGCAAGGTTGACAGACCCTGACAGAAGCTTATATTCCCCTCCCGTATTACATATGTCCTAGGCTGAACCCCAGTGTGTTCGCTCCTCGTGTGTACAAGGGGGCAGTGGTCGGTCTGGTGTTGTTCAGGGTAAAGGAGATGTGTGTTATATAGTGTTGGTCAGCGTAAATATACGGGAGGAAATAAACCTAATAAAAATAATTGTTTCAAATTCAGTCGTCTCAAATCTACGTAATCTTCTCCAATGTCAATGACTGGTGTTTCTCCGAGATCATTCTCTGGACTGTAAATTGCCTTATAATCCGAGTGAAATAACTGAATGAAGCGCCGTAAAATCCGCCAAAATATGCCGAGTGGGTTATTTCCACATCTTACTTCCAGTCAAGTTATACTAAAAATCATGCTATTACACGCATAAAACAAGTAATGAGTAGTTTTTTTAAAGTATATACCACACGTTATATGACATCGCCCTTTCAATCGAGAAGGTGACACAACTGGTTCAGTCGTCTTGTACAGGGTCGCCTTCCTAAAACCTGCCGGAAACCTACGATCGTGAGTTAGTATCCCAAAACCATAACATATGTGTGTTGGTTTGGCAAAACTGGCTTACGTCTAAGTCCTGCATCACTTTTGGCTTACCTTCCACAACAGGCCGACATGGTGTGAAATACCTGAAATACATATATAATTATAGGCCATGCTTTGCTGTCATTTCGAAAATATAAAGATATATTCCAAGCGCAACAATACAACAACCACGTACGGCATGGCGATACTGAGATGTAGTGTGTCGATGCAACATGGCGATAGTTCGGTGCAATGTGTCGAAAGTGGTCGTTCTAGTGTTGGTCAGGGTAAAGAAGGATTAGTAGTCGTTCTAGTGTTGGCCAGGGTAAAGGAGGGGTGGTGGTCGGTCTAGTGTTGGTCAGGGTAAAGGAGGATTAGTAGACTCAGTCGTTCTAGTGTTGGTGAGGGTAAAGGAGGGGTGGTGGTCGGTCTAGTGTTGGTGAGGGTAAAGGAGGGGGGGTGGTCGGTCTAGTGTTGGTGAGGGTAAAGGAGGGGTGGTGGTCGGTCTAGTGTTGGTGAGGGTAAAGGAGGGATGGTGGTCGGTCTAGTGTTGGTCAGGGTAAAGGAGGGGTTGTGGTCGGTCTAGTGTTGGTGAGGGTAAAGGAGGGATGGTGGTCGGTCTAGTGTTGGTCAGGGTAAAGGAGGGATGGTGGTCGGTCTAGTGTTGGTCAGGGTAAAGGAGGGATGGTGGTCGGTCTAGTGTTGGTCAGGGTAAAGGAGGGGTTGTGGTCGGTCTAGTGTTGGTGAGGGTAAAGGAGGGATGGTGGTCGGTCTAGTGTTGGTCAGGGTAAAGGAGGGATGGTGGTCGGTCTAGTGTTGGTCAGGGTAAAGGAGGGATGGTGGTCGGTCTAGTGTTGGTCAGGGTAAAGGAGGGGTTGTGGTCGGTCTAGTGTTGGTGAGGGTAAAGGAGGGGTGGTGGTCGGTCTAGTGTTGGTCAGGGTAAAGGAGGATTAGTAGACTCAGTCGTTCTAGTGTTGGTGAGGGTAAAGGAGGGGTGGTGGTCGGTCTAGTGTTGGTGAGGGTAAAGGAGGGGTGGTGGTCAGTCTAGTGTTGGTGAGGGTAAAGGAGGGGGGGGGTTGGTCTAGTGTTGGTCAGGGTTAAGGAGGGGTGGTGGTCGGTCTGGTGTTGGTCAGGGTAAAGGAGGGATGGTGGTCGGTCTGGTGTTGGTGAGGGTAAAGGAGAGGTTGTGGTCGGTCTGGTGTTGGTGAGGGTAAAGGAGGGGTGGTGGTCGGTCTGGTGTTGGTGAGGGTAAAGGAGGGGTGGTGGTCGGTCTAGTGTTGGTCAGGGTAAAGGAGGGGTTGTGGTCGGTCTAGTGTTGGTCAGGGTTAAGGAGGGGTGGTGGTCGGTCTAGTGTTGGTGAGGGTAAAGGAGGGGTGGTGGTCGGTCTAGTGTTGGTGAGGGTTAAGGAGGGGTGGTGGTCGGTCTGGTGTTGGTGAGGGTAAAGGAGGGGTGGTGGTCGGTCTGGTGTTGGTGAGGGTAAAGGAGGGGTGGTGGTCGGTCTAGTGTTGGTCAGGGTTAAGGAGGGGTGGTGGTCGGTCTGGTGTTGGTCAGGGTAAAGGAGGGATGGTGGTCGGTCTGGTGTTGGTGAGGGTAAAGGAGAGGTTGTGGTCGGTCTGGTGTTGGTCAGGGTAAAGGAGGGGTGGTGGTCGGTCTAGTGTTGGTGAGGGTAAAGGAGAGGTGGTGGTCGGTCTGGTGTTGGTCAGGGTAAAGGAGGGGTGGTGGTCGGTCTAGTGTTGGTGAGGGTAAAGGAGAGGTGGTGGTCGGTCTAGTGTTGGTGAGGGTAAAGGAGGGGTGGTGGTCGGTCTGGTGTTGGTCAGGGTAAAGGAGGGGTGGTGGTCGGTCTAATGATGGTCAGGGTAAAGGAGAGGTGGTGGTCGGTCACCAAATACCAATTATTCATACATCTTTGGAGATGGGGGTGGGAGGGCCTATTTGTTTTCGTGAATTTTCAGTTTTGGTCAGATACTCTCATCTTGACATGTGGTCTGTCTGATTATTGATCACTTGTAAGAGTTGGCACTGAGTGTAATGTGACAACTGAGTTTTGTCACGAAATATAGAGAATCTCACCCTTGTGTCTTTTGATATCAAATATATCAACATAAGTTGATAAAAGTGGGAAAACTCCGAGGCTTTTTTTCCACTTTTATCAACGAGTGTTGATATGTTTGATATCAAAAGACACAAGGGTAAGATTTTATTTATTTATTATCCAACATCATTCTTCCAACTTTTTCAGTTTGTAGACAGTAATAAGCAGTGTCTTAAGTGTAAAAAGTACTGCTAACAGCTTCAGCAGCAGAGCCATTAGTGATGTCATTTGATTACGACGTCATGGTAACCATTGATGTCACAATGGTCTGCAAAGCATTGTGATGCAATTTCATTGAAGGGATATCTACGGTGTAGATATCGTTTGATCTCACCCAAACGATATCTCCTGTGGGAGCCAGTTTTGGAAGATAAATTGTCTTTGTCTATATGAACAGAAGCACAAATTTGACGTTTCACCCCTTAAAGTGGTGCTCCTTCCTAACTCTTTCTCTCTATATATGGAATCCCATACGTACACTCACCCAAAGTAACTACGTTTTGCAATATCTCAATTTAACCCCAATATATCATTAACCCTCTAACCCTAATCCCCCGTGTCCTATATTTCTACGACCTTATCGTATTGCCAACTTGACGGGTGACACGCTTTATCTTTATCTTGTATGTCAAACGTAACCCAGCGGAAATCTACTGTAAAGCAATCCCGCTAATCTGGGCAACCGGTCACATTATCTTGGCTAGAGTCGTGCAAATGTTGTTGTTGACGATGTTGTTGTTGACACATATATTCAGGAAGCAACAATTGTCTGACTAATACAGTGAGTCAGCGAGCGGGATTTCTTCAAACGGTAATCATCATGTCCTCTTATACAATGACAAATACCATGAACCTATTCGCTTCCTGCGTCCGCCTAGCTGGACTTGGGAGCAAGATTGCTCCTTCCGACCTGGAACCATCATCTGACGACAGATCCAAGGACGGACAACGTCATAACAGCGCGTGGCAGAACATTATAAGTTACAATACCCTGACGTGAACACCGCGAGTCAGATTTGTGAGACAGAACACCATGAAGCTGACCACACTGACAGGAATCCACGAGCAAGAACAAAGTGATACAGAACAACGTGAGAAAAATCACCCAGACCCGGAACAACGTGAGACAGAACGCCGCGACCCAAAACAACGTGAGACAGAACCCCGCGACCCAGAACAACGTGAGACAGAACCCCGCGACCCAGAACAACGTGAGACAGAACACTCCGACCAAGAACAACGTGAGACAGAACCCTCCGACCAAGAACAACGTGAGACAGAACCCTCTGACCAAGAACAACGTGAGACAGAACACTCCGACCAAGAACAACGTGAGACAGAACACCAAGACCCAAAACAACGTGAGACAGAACACCCCGACCCAGAACAACGTGATACAGAAGCCCGCGATCCAGAACGTGTGACAGAACACCGAGAACCAGAGCCCAGCGACTCAGAACAACGTGAGACAGGCGCCTTCGACACAGAACAACGTGAGACAGAACACTTCGACCCACAACAACGTGAGACAGAGGCCGCGACCCAGAACAACGTGATACAAAGACACGCCTCTCAGAACAACGTGAGACGTAGCCCTGCCACTCAGAACAACGTGAGACAGGCGCCTGCGACCCAGAACAACGTGAGACAGAGCCCCGCGACTCAGAACAACGTGAGACAGAACCCTCCGACCAAGAACAACGTGAGACAGAACACTCCGACCAAGAACAACGTGAGACAGAACCCTCCGACCAAGAACAACGTGAGACAGAACACTCCGACCAAGAACAACGTGAGACAGAACACTCCGACCAAGAACAACGTGAGACAGAGCCCTGCCACTCAGAACAACGTGAGACAGGCGCCTGCGACCCAGAACAACGTGAGACAGAGCCCCGCGACTCAGAACAACGTGAGACAGAACCCTCCGACCAAGAACAACGTGAGACAGAACACTCCGACCAAGAACAACGTGAGACAGAACCCTCCGACCAAGAACAACGTGAGACAGAACCCTCCGACCAAGAACAACGTGAGACAGAACACTCCGACCAAGAACAACGTGAGACAGAACACCAAGACCCAAAACAACGTGAGACAGAACACCCCGACCCAGAACAACGTGATACAGAAGCCCGCGACCCAGAACGTGTGACAGAACACCGAGAACCAGAGCCCAGCGACTCAGAACAACGTGAGACAGGCGCCTTCGACACAGAACAACGTGAGACAGAACACTTCGACCCACAACAACGTGAGACAGAGGCCGCGACCCAGAACAACGTGATACAAAGACACGCCTCTCAGAATAACGTGAGACGTAGCCCTGCCACTCAGAACAACGTGAGACAGGCGCCTGCGACCCAGAACAACGTGAGACAGAGCCCCGCGACTCAGAACAACGTGAGACAGAACCCTCCGACCAAGAACAACGTGAGACAGAACACTCCGACCAAGAACAACGTGAGACAGAACACCAAGACCCAAAACAACGTGAGACAGAACACCCCGACCCAGAACAACGTGAGACAGAGCCCTGCCACTCAGAACAACGTGAGACAGGCGCCTGCGACCCAGAACAACGTGAGACAGAGCCCCGCGACTCAGAACAACGTGAGACAGAACCCTCCGACCAAGAACAACGTGAGACAGAACACTCCGACCAAGAACAACGTGAGACAGAACACCAAGACCCAAAACAACGTGAGACAGAACACCCCGACCCAGAACAACGTGAGACAGAGCCCTGCCACTCAGAACAACGTGAGACAGGCGCCTGCGACCCAGAACAACGTGAGACAGAGCCCCGCGACTCAGAACAACGTGAGACAGAGCCCCGCCACTCAGAACAACGTGAGACAGGCGCCTGCGACCCAGAACAACGTGAGACAGAGGCCGCGACTCAGAACAACGTGAGACAGAGCCCCGCCACTCAGAACAACGTGAGACAGAGCCCCGCCACTCAGAACAACGTGAGACAGAGACCCGCGACTCAGAACAACGTGAGACAGAGCCCCGCCACTCAGAACAACGTGAGACAGAGACCCGCCACTCAGAACAACGTGAGACAGAGACCCGCGACTCAGAACAACGTGAGACAGAGCCCCGCCGACCAGAACAACGTGCGACAGAGCCCCGCCGACCAGAACAACGTGAGACAGAACCCCGCCACTCAGAACAACGCGAGACAGGCGCCTGCGACCCAGAACAACGTGAAACAGAACACCCCGACACAGAACAACGTGAGACAGAACACCCCGACACAGAACAACGTGAGACAGAACACCCCGACACAGAACAACGTGAGACAGAGACCAACGTTGGACAAACCACCGTGAGACAGGACAGTCGTGAAATTCATTTCAGTAAAACAAGAACATCTCCTGTGTTCGAGTTTTGTTTGAATCCCAGCAAAGAGGCTGTGTTGTGAATGTATATTGCGAACAAACCAGATTGTCATTTTGCGAGCTGTTTCTAATGTAAAATATTTGTGACCAAGAGTGAAATTTATCAGTTGTTATTGGTATTCTGCATGTAACACATGTCGGTTTAACATTACACAAATATTATGGACACCGCATGCTTTTGTCAGGTTTTCAAAATTACGATTGCGTGTTATCCCATTATATTATCTGCCTTGTTGCTCCTTCCATTGGCATGAACTGCGATACAGCAAATTAATCAGTCTGTGACGACAGCAGCTCATTTCGATTCAAGGAGGCTGTCTGCCTGAGGCTATTGTACAATGTATAACATGTATATCAGCAAGGATTGCATTTCATTTCTGCATGGTCATGACTATATTTCGGACAGGTAACACTTGGTACAGACGGTTTCATTGCGCTTTTGTGGTTGCCTCGAGGTAACATTTAAGTTCCATATCAATACATTAACAATGATAATATGGGAAGAGATTCCCCAAAACACTTAAACTAAACTGATGATCAAATGATGACCATTAGATGGTTCCTAGGTTTTAAAACCTTGGTTGCAGGAAACTTAATTCAGGTCGAAAACAATTGCCCAAACACACCCAACTCTTTGTTAAAAGTCGGTGTGTTTTGAGATAGTTTTTCGTGAATTTTGTATAAATAAGTGTTTTTATAAAATGGTTACATGGAATAAGAAGCAAATCGTTTGATCTCTGAACATCACAGCTCATAAAAGCTGGCGAGAGAAATGCCAATGTTATCGGCAAAATATAGAGGTGCCCAGGAATGGCGGTGATTGGTGGTTGAAATGACATTTGAATCTAAAATAAGTAATAATTAATTTCATTTATGCCAAGAAAGACATTTTATTTTGCCGGTTTGATCAAGCCGTTTTGGTATATGTACTGTGTTTCCAAAATAATGATGACTCCCTGTTGTGTTTTGCGAGCTCCAGCGATGAGCGTGAGTGACCCGCGATGGTCAAATGTGTGAGAAATTCTGTGTGTTGCAGAGAGATAGCGGCTGAGCACTAATCTTCAGGTATAAAATACTGTTTTTTGTTTAATATATTATCATGTCATAAATGCAAGTTTTGGAAATACGTCAACTTTATTGATAATTCATTTTGCATTTTTCAAAGAGCGTGTTGTTCGATTTTCAATCATCTTTGAGTGCTCAAAATATATGCTGGAAGTATTTGTAATGTTTTCAAGTATTGTTATATCCCCTAAATGGTATAACTATTCTTTGCTGCGTAAATATCAGTCAAAGTAAATGTTTATTTACCGTAAATGTGAATTTTGTAGCGAGTTAAATTTAAGGAGAAATCCTTGTTTCAAAATGAAATGTAACCTTTATTGGGGAAGATTTTTGGGTGAACACATTATGAATGTTTTAATACTTTACAAGAACTGTAATTGATTTATTTGATTTATTATCACTAAAGAGTATATTTATTTCACTCTTCAGAACATATTTAATGTTACGAAGGACTCAGCCAATAAAGGGTGGTGAACACTATTTTCTCTTCATCATTTGTACCAAAACTTTCTGAAGATTTTGAGTCTAAGCATGTCCGTCTTGCAAACACGCTCGGGTGAAGCCGGCTGACCAATCCCAGGCTACTTCCCGACTAGGCCGCTGACTGGGCGCACAAGGGACCGACCACGAATCGGCAGACCACGTGACTGACCACCTCACAGAAGGGCAGACTATTGCGCACGTTACATCTGCGCAACTGCATCCTGACGGTGACGTTATCGGCGTTGACGGAACTGGTATGCCGCGTCAGTGGCGAGACGATTGATCCGACTGACAGTGAAGACCCGGGTCAGATTAGGTCTTCAGCAACCCATGCTTGCCGTATAAAGGCGACTATGCTTGTAAGAGGCGACCAAGAGGTTAGGGTGGTCAGGCTCGCTGACATGGTTGATGCGAGTCATTGTATCCGAGTTGTATAGATTGATGCACATTATGTCAATCACTTGATTATCTGGTCCAGACACGATTATTTACAGACCGCCGTCATATAGCTGGAATATTGCTGCGTGCCGCGTTAGATAACAAACAAAACATATATTGTTACGCTAAGTAACACTATTATATGGACAACCTGTTTGCCGATGCGGTTCGGCTGTTTTGGTAGCAGGTACGTATGTGTGTATCAGCATGATTTGGCCATCGTGCAAGGATCCAGGGACCAAGGGTTCCACTCCCGGATACGCCGTGTGTTATCATTGCTTTGTTTGCGCCATACAAACCAGCCAAGCGATGTACTCGTACCCGAACACTTGACTCCTTACTCCATGTTACAAACACCAAATACTCCAATTTGATTCAGATGCAACTTGAAAAAGCTTTCAAACATGCTCATCAAGAATGGGCCCCAAAACATTAATTCTACATTACGAACAAATCATTAATAAACTAAAAGGCAAAAGAAAATATAGGTTGGCAATTTGTAATTTTCCTAAAAACAGCGATAACTAGTGGAAAGTGGGTATTGGGAATATGGCTGCCCAGGAACAGGTACCAAATAACAACTCACCCGAACGCGCCACCTTTGACGGTGCTCGTGCGGTGACAAACAAATGGTGAAACAGGTTTCCCGCCCATGGCATAAACTGCACGTGCATGTTAGCTGTATGAATGCGTTCGTCTGCAGGGTATAACCATACGTGATGAAAGCACACAAAAGACGACTGTCACAGGAGCAAAGAGAGGGAGACATCGGTATGGCCGAAATGGGGGCAACACAGGTCCAAATTGCCAGAAGGTTTGGTTGTACACCATTGACAGTAGCCAGGCTGATTCAACGGTACAGGCAGACAGGGAGGACACAGGACAGGCCTAGAGCCGGACGACCCCAAATGACAACACTACTGGAAGACGGTCAGATACGGCTCATTCACCTGCGAAACAGATTCGTAACGGCGACCTCGACGGCAGCAACAGCGTTTGGACATCCTATTAGCCAACGTACAGTACTACGACGACTTCGTGCTGCTGGAATCCGAGCGTATCGTCCTTTCCGAGGAATGGTACTGACTGCTCAACAGCTCAACTGCTAAACCAGCAGAACGTTGACGTTTTGCCCTGGCCTGCCCATTCACCCGATATGAATCCTACTGAACATCTGTGGGACCATCTTGACAGACAAATTAGAGCACGCCATCAGCCTCCCGTCAACAGACAAGAATTCCAGCAGGCCCTGAGAGACGAGTGGCAACGGATTCCAGTCGACGTTATCAGAAGACTGACGTCATCGATGAGGCGGCGTATCACAGCATGCATTGAGGCAGCTGGCGGTCATACACGCTATTGAAGGCAACTTAGTCGACAATGTACTTGTAGTGTGTCTGACAAGTTTTTGGTGACATTTCAGACAACTTTGGAAAATGAAATTTCTCACTCCACCATTGTTTACCTTGAGCTTACATTACCTGTGATCGCACAATTTCATTCAAACTGTGGTTGATCAATCATTTGTTACCCCTCCCTAGATTATATTACAATTCACAACAAAACCTCTTCTTGTTATTTTTTTATCGATCACGGAACTCGACCTATACTCTTTTTTTTTTGCCGCCTTACAGGTAATATCAATGTCACGCAAACTTGAACAATCGTGTGTGTAGGCGGACACATCCTGTAGGCATGGAGTTCTGCTGACGTTCACCTATACAACACGACACACTACTCTCAACTCAGATCATGGAATATTGAAGTGTCAGAATTGATATTTGATACAGTTGATAAACCTTTTGTAGTTACATACTGCATGAACCTATCGATTAAATACCCATATGCATTCTATTTATATGCAAATGTTTGTGTAACAGCTTTATCCCGTGCTTCTTTCTCGTGTTTGTCTGATAATTACTGAAAATATTGAATATTGATATGTGCATATGTATCAACATAAGATTTTTCCCCTGACGCAATTGAGCCAATAGTCTTTCAATGGACTCCAAATGGGTAGGCAATATACCTTGGTAGATGCTTCACATTTCGGGTATATATTTGTAAGTCTATATTACACATGACTGTAACGCCACCCCCCCCCCCGAACACATCCTTGGGGGTTCCAGAGAGGAACAGGGCCCCAGACACCTTTGCTGGACGTATCGGGTAGATGGTCAGGGTCGGTGATTGGTTGAATGTGCTCCAACGCACCTGACGGCGTGGGACGTTGGTCAGGACGCTGGTTTGTCCAGTAATATTGCGGCGTAAAACAATAGAACACAGACCGTTACGGCGGACGTGTTATTGTAGCATCATGTTAAATAAAGTCAGGAACTGTTGCTCATTGGTACTAAGGAGATACCATTGCAACAAGCCATTCCGGTGATGAGGAATACTACCTACAGTAATGACAAACATTGCAAAGTGCGCCTTTCGAGAAATATCCATTTTGATAGCGATTAACATTATCATTTAGTTTTGATATAACCAAGTGCAGATATACATGGCGATATGAATGACTAACCTATGTATCGACCATGATACAAACTGCTAATGATTGCTACAGATTAAGGTGAGGTGGGGTGAAATGGGGTTTAACGTCGCGTCCAAGATTAT